ATAGTCCAAGTCTCACATCCATATATGACTACTGGAAAAACCATTGCTTTGACTAGACAGACCTTTGTCAGCAAAATAATGTCTCTGCTTTTTAATATGCTCTCTAGGTTAGTTATAACTCTTCTTCCAAGGAGCAAGCATCTTTTAATTTCATGGCTGCAGTTACCATCTGCCGTGATTTTGGAGCCCAAAAAAATAAAGTCTGTCACTGTTTCCACTGTTTCCCATCTATTTGCCATGAAGTGATGGGACCAGATACCATGATCTTAGTTTTCTAAATGTTGAGTTTTAACCCCACTTTTTCACTCTCCTCTTTCACTTTCATCGAGAGGCTCTTTAGGTCTTCTTCACTTTCTGCCATAAGGGTGGTGTCATCTGCATTTCTGAGGTTATTGATATTTCTCCTGGCAATCTTGATTCCAGCTTGTGCTTCATCCAGCCCAGTGTTTCTCATCAAGTACTCTGCATATAAGTTAAATAAGCAGGGTGACAATATACAGCCTTGATGTACGCCTTTTCCTATTTGGAACCAGTCTGTTGTTCCATGTCCAATTCTGAGTGTTGCTTGTATACATATATATTATAATAAGCAGAAGAGACAGCTCATTGGAAAAGACCCTGATGCTGGGAAAGACTGAAGGCGAAAAGAGAAGGGGGCACAGAGAATGAGGTGGTTGGATGGCATCACTGACTCGATGGACATGAGTTTGAGCAAAATCCTGGAGACGGTGAAGGGCAGGGGAGCCTGGCGCGCTGCAGCACTTGGAGTCAAAAAGAGTCGGACACAACTTAGCGACAGAACCACACATTCATAAATCAAATGTGAAGTGAAGCTTATTAGCTCATAAGCGTATCTTGCCCCTGCAACACAATCATAAGGGAGTAAATTCTTTCAAATTAAAAGCAAATACAAACAAAAAACAATTGCCCTGAAAGTGAAGATGAAATTCCTTTTTCACAGTTTTTAGAAAGCCCATAAAAAGCTATTTATTTACATTGTTGATCTTATCACATCTATTAATATAATATTAAACCACTGTGGAAATTCTGCAAATGTTAGAAACCTTAACAATGTTAAAACAATAACATTATAAATACAACAATCAGAGGGGAAAGGAGGGAATTTGGCAAGAATTGTAAAAGTGCTAGCTCTCTCATCTCTCACAGCCACAAGTTGATAATATCTAAAATTAAAACGCAGAGTTAAAAATATAATAATTCCATGCTCTTATTGAATGTTTCAAAATATTTTTCTTAGCCCTAGAATAATATTTTAGGATATTCAACAGTGTTTTTGGCTCTCATTTCTGTTCTCATCTATGTTACTTGATTGTTTTTATAATGTGTATTATTATTTATATAAAAATAGTAAAGTCATTAAAAATTTTAAAAAGGAAATTAACACTTCTGAATTGATCTGGGTTCTCCGGAGAAACAGAACCAATAGGAGATGTAAATATATCAAGACTCTCTGTAAGGAACTGGCTGAGTGATCGTGGAGGGTGAGGAGTGTGGGTTCTGCCGCTGACGAGCCGCTGGCCCAGGAGACCCAATGGAACACGCTCTGTGCAGACCAAAGGCCTGAGAACCAGGAAAGCCAGCGAAGTAAGCTCTGTTCTAAGCCTGAACCTGGAGGAAGGAAAGGACCTCTGTCAAGCTGGTGCAGTCCGGCAGGGAGCACAGAGTCACCCTTCCTCCTGCCGTTCACTCTTCCCCGGCTCTGGGGGACTGGACCAGGCCCCCACCCTGGCGAGGGCCGTCTGCTCCGTTCTGTCCCCTCCTCGGAGTCGGTCTTTTCCATGAACCCCCTGCAGGCACACCCAGACACGGCTTGACTCACGGTCTCCGCGCCCCATGGCCCAGTCGGGTTGACTCAAGGGTAATCACCACCACGTCAAAAGCATCCCTCTCAACTCTGCATCATAGCAAGTTACAAGAAGACCCAGTGCAGACCCCGAGGGGACCACGATGAGGAACCTCCCAGCTCTGCAGGAGGTGCCAAGTGTCTCGCCTGCATTCAGAGCTAGACTCCTTCTCGCCATCTTCCCCATCAACGCGGTCTTTCCCTCCTATCGGCTGGACCTCTGCGTTCTAAGCACCGGGGCTATGTCTTTATCCTTAGCTGAGTTTAGGAGCTTAGAGGAGGCGCCATGCTCCAGACTGAGATGGGATTGTCCAAGCATCATCTCTCATCTTTATCTCAGCCCAGTCGGTCAGTCCCGGGAGCCACACTCACCGTGACCTGGAGAAACACAGATACTGACCCAGTACGGCCCCTCCTAACTGCTGGAGAGGAAGCTGCATTCTCTCTCGGCTGGCTCTCCGGACTCCAGCCTTCCTGCTGTACAGCAGGGACAAGCTTGTCTGTAGATTGGTTCATGTCACACAAACTAGTCCTACTGAAGCCCTACTAAGGTTCCCACCACCACCCGCCAAAACTAAACCAAGTTCCGAAGCCGTGGCATACCAGACTACATGCAACGCGACCCCCACCTCTGCAGCCTGCTCCCCACCCCGCCCCTTCTCAGGCCTGCCTTCAGCTCGGGGACCACGTGGCTGTCACCCAAACACACTCTGCAGACTCTTTCAGCCGTGACTTTGCTGGAAGCTCTGCCCCTCAGCTCTTCCCTGATGGAAATTCTTTCCATGCATCAGGGGCTGACCCAGTGGTCCCTCCTCTCGGAACCTCTGCTTGCCCGTCAGAACGGACCCCCTTTCCACCACGATCAAAGCTCTCACCCAGATGTCCTCAGGCCTTGGGGACAATGCTGTCTCTACCTGCGCGTCTCCATGACCCTGCAAGTCTGGGGCAATAACGTATTTGTCTGGGCAGCTCCCCAGCATCGCCGTGGTTCAGACCAGGTCATCACAGAGCTCTGATCTACTGAATTCAATTCTCTCATCTAGTATGTCGGCATCCACATAGTGTCTCTAGAAATCTGGGTTGTAGCCTTAATCCTGGCGTTGTTAAAGACTTCTTTTTTTGATGTGGACTATATTTAGTCTTCACTGAATTTGTTACAATATCGCTTCTGTTTTTATGTTTTTGTTGCTGTTTATGAGGCATGTGGGATCTTACCTGATCAGGGATCAAACCTACACCCCAGTGCTGGAAGGCCAAGTCTTAACCCCTGGACCACCAGGGAAGTCCCTCCTATCATTTTAATCAGGAGATTTTAGACATAGTATTTACCAGTTTATCTGTAAGGTAAATATAAATAAGGATACTCCTGTCAATGTATTTCATAAGGATGAGGGAAAAATCTATCGGATTCAGCGTTAATAGCCTTCAAATCCTCAGAACCCCTGAATAAAGCAGCGTCTACAGAAACAGAGGATAACGTGCAATTCCTTCTCATTCCAACAAAAGGGACACACCCCCTGGTCCGGGCTGGGGGGAGGCTGGGAAGAGACCCCAGGCACACAGCTCCGTGTTCGAGTGTCGGACAAGGCCCCGGGCGCTCTGCGGAGGCCCAGCCCGCCTCCTCCTCGACCTGCTCCTGGCACTCTGCAGGGAGGGCGCCAGGCCCTAATTGCAGCGGCATCAATCAAAGGGATTGCGAATCGCAGCACGGCCTCGCCGGTTGGAGTTAATTAGAACGCTGACATTTCCCAGACTGTCAGCTAAATGGGTGCTTAGGAGGGTGTGCGCATGCATCCAGTGGGTAAATACAGGCTGTCAGCCGCCTCGACAGATACACCGGCCGTTCTGGTTCTTTCACCAAACACCCCTGCGGGTGACTCCGCACCTCCTCTGCGACACCCTGCAAGGAGCTCAGCGTTCATCCAAAATGGGGTCAACTCATCTGTATCCTGTGAAACCGTGCTTTCGGACCGTCATTGTCTTCACAATCCAATGAAAAAGGACACCGTGCTTAAGCCAGGCTCGACACAGGGCTGGTGGGGAGGGGGGTGAGTATGCAGTCTGCTCCTCCCAGACGGACCTGGAGCTGCAGCGGTGCTGGCCCACCCCGCCTGCCTGGGAGGCGCTGGGCTGGCGGTGTGGGGGCCACAGACCAGACTCAGACGCCCCAGACCCTCATGGTTCTCAGCAAGATTCACCAGCTTCCCTGCAGTGAGTGCGTCTCCATGGACCCCAGGCCCCTGGGGCAACTCCCAGAGGCTTAAGGCGGCTTTGATCATTTTCAGCACTTGATCATTGCTTTGCTGGGAGGGGGTCTGCCAAGCTCCTTACTTGGTCTCTTATCCAGGTCCTTTCCGAAGGAGCTCATTGAGCTTCATTAGTATTTGGAATAGTTCAGGAAGAAAAAGAGGCAGCTGCCACCAAGCATATGTGTCTGGCATTGGCACTCCTGACTCTGGACTCAGTCCAATCGCTCAGTCATGTCCGACTCTCTGCGACCCCATGGACTGCAGCATGCCAGCCCTCCCTGTCCATCACCAACTCCCAGAGCCTGCTCAAACTCATGTCCATCAAGCTGGTGATGCCATCCCACCATCTAATCCTCTGTCATCCCGTTCTCCTCCTTTGGACTAGTGGAGAGTGGGCATCCCAGCATCTCGTCCTCTATCGTCCCCATCTCCCTTTGGACTAGTGGAGTGGAGAGCAGACAGGAGGAGGAAACAGCCAACTCGGGCGGTGTTGGGGGGGGTGCGGGTCCGTCTGTCCCTGCAGGGCTGGATCGTCAGGCAGGACGAGGGCGGGCATCCAAACGCCCGTGTCCTAGTATCCTGGTCGTGCTGAGAAACTGTCTCATCTGTCTCGCTGCTCCCCAACTGCCCCATCCTCAGCTCTGTCTGCACGCACAGCCCCTGGCCAAGCTCTCAGCACAGACGCTGAGTGCTGCACCACCCTGAGCCGGCAGGCTGCTCTCCCAAAGGTGCGCGTGCTCCCCCAAGGCAAGGTGGGGCCCACTGACCTGTCCCGATGGCTATTAGCTCAAGGCCTGGCCCCGAAGGACAGCCTTCCAGAGCGCACCGCTGGGACAACAGCCACTGACGTCAGAGGGTGCCTGGGCATCAGGACAGACTGAACGTACAGCCAGACTGGAACATCCCGCCCATCAGAATATCGCCAAGGGCCGAGAGCGGGCGGCTGAACAAGAAGTCCCGTGACGGTGACAGCAGTCTCAGCCGCGCACCACCCACACCCACCGCCCGCCCTCGCAGGCGAGCCTGCTCAGCGCCCACTGGGACGACCTCGGCCACCGCAGGCTCCTCCCCGGAATCAGACAGGTCGCCCCTTTCACAGAAATCTTCTCCCACCAAAGGAGGCGGACCTGATTCTCCCCACCTACCTCACGCGGGAGAATAACAAAGTGGCTCTGTGGTTATCTCCACTGCCCGGGAGGTCACAGGGCCGGTCCTGAGGGTGGGGGGCAGGGCAGGGCAGGGCACCTCCCCCAGGGTGCCGGCCGGCCGTGGGGCTCACAGGAGCTGCAGGCCATCCGAACGACTGCAGGGAGATGCTCACAGGGTGTGTGAGGACAGCAGCATAAGGGGAGGGTTTACTACCCTTGTCTATCTTTTATCTCTGCCTGTACTGTGGTCCTAGGATTGGTAATGAAAATACAACCGATTTATTTAACTTTAACAGAAGAAAGCGACTGAGCCCCGCCTGCTGCCTGGCGGCCACCCACCCGTCCAGTCTGACCAGCAGCCCACCACTACGGCCCGGCTCACTCCGCAGCTGTGCTCTTCGCTTCGTCCTCCAGAAACCCAGCGCCCAACATCCAAGCCCGGCACGAGCCCCAAGCGCCCTGCACACCCTGTCACCAGCCGCCGGGAGGAGAAGCGCTTGGACCAGGAGCCTCCGTCATGAGGCTCACCTCGACCCCTAAGAAATCGCTTGGTTTCTAACCCAGATTTTATTTCCATGGGGGTGAGCTGGCTTCCCCTTGCCTGGATCTGCAGGCCAGTGGTAATGCATTTGTATCTGGTGAAGGCCCCCAGCCCCACACCGGGGGGTGTCCTGTCCTCAACGCCCCGAACGCTCTCTCCCGGGAAGCCCGTCTTCAACAACCTCTCTGCAGGAAGATGGCGCTTGGGCTTCTGTTAAATGCAAAGGGCTGAGAACATAAATTTTTATCTTCCCCCTCCTGTGACCTCACCTACAAAAAGCTAAAGGAATAAAGAGGTATAAATCCTCAGAGGCAAATGGGAAGGGGAATGTTAGCAGACAAGCAATTTCAGCTGACGTTTGACAGGCAGGCAGCGTGAGGAGGGGCAGCGGGGGAGAAGACACGCAAGGAAGTGTCTGCAGAGACCCTGGCCCAGGCCGAGCCTCACCTGCAGGGGACATAACAGACAGAGAGAAAGACACAGCCCGCGAGACGTTAAGAAAAGTCTCTAACACAAAAGACAGAAGAAAACCTCGAAAACATCTTAGTGTAGGCAGTGTTATAATTCCACGTTTCATAATGAAACAAGGCAAGGAGCACTTGAGAATAGCAGTAAATCTTAGAAATCAAAAAATGATAGCAAAATTTGAAGTTTTAATAAATGATTGAAAGATAAAGGGAAAACTCTCAGGAAGTAAGACAAAATGATGGAATTGTGTGAGCACATACTAGAGAGGTAAGCAGTGCATTGAGGAGATCTAACAAAGAACCAAGAGGTATCTCAAAAAGGTGATCGAGACAGCAAGCGGCAGCTATCCTGGAAAAAATAATTCTAGAAAATTTCACATATTGAAAAAATATAAATCCTGAGATAGAATGGTCCAGCGGAGTGTCCAGCACAAGGACTGGAAAGTCGATAGTGAACTTACTTCATTGGTGATTATCAGAACATCAGAAATAAAGAATAAAAACCTTAGGAATTTCAGAGAAAACAGGAGACCCTATTTCTCATCACATTTTTATCACATCCTAAAGAGTAAGAATCAGAACGCGGTTAACAACAATACTGGGTTAAAAACTCAAAAAGATACCCTACTTGTTAAAGGCAAGCTCTCAATTAAAAATCCTAAAGAAATTCTCTACCTACCCAAGCTACCAACCCAGGGTGCATGCTAATCAGAGTATCTTGAGAAGAGAAGAAGGGAGAAGGTTGACCTTCAGAGGACCATTTCTCTGAGGCTGCCGGAGGGTGTGCTCCAAGACACGGGAGTAAACGGAGGACGGCTCAGGGGGACAGACCCGGTCCTGAAGGGCCGGGAACGGAAGTCCTGGGGCGGCGGGGCGTGGTGCCACACACACCGGCTCCAGGACAAGCGCCAGAGACGGCCGCGGCCGGGGGAAGCCGACATGGCGCGTCTGGAGAGAAGACGGGTGTTTACCTGGAAAATGAAGCAAGGGGCACGTGATGCAAGTGTTAAGGGAAAAATCCAAGACAGAATATAATCATGGCGCACTACGTGGCTCTACAGAGAACAACACTTATACGGTCAAATAATACGGTAAACTATACGATAAACCACCTGGAAAAGTAAGGATATTCATCTGAAAGATTACAAGTAGAAAAAATGACGCATTAAATGAAGATTTGAAAAAAAAACCAGTATAATCATAGTGCAAGTCTTGGTTCTACAAAGAGCAATGTTTACATGGTTTAATGATATAAACACTGATTACTGATTTAACTAAAAATAGTGACATCATATTGGAAGTGGGGGAGCTGGGAAGGGGAGGTAAACCAGAGCTAAGTCTTGACACAGAAGAGAAAGAGGTGAACAAATAAGGTGTAAAGTTGATGAGCCAACTACAGCAACCCAAGCACTTGGTTCAGGGAAAACAGGAATTCCCCGCACGCTGGGAGTCGTCTATCGCAGGGGACAGAGCCGACGGAGGCTTGGAGACCAGCATCCTTGCTCTCCTGCTGCTCATTGCATTCTCAGACATGTGCCTGTGCTGTTTTTACTACACGTTCCATCTAAGGAGAGGCAGGGCCTCTCGCTCTAGGGTCATGGTGAGGGCCGGCCACATGAATTCCTTACGTCCTTTATGCCCTTTCAGTTTACAAAACGCTTTCCTTCATGGTACGTTGTTTAGATTCACAACAATCCAGCTAGGTGGCTATAACTTTCTTATTTGCAGAAAAGGAATGCGTCCAGAACAGGGGGTCACACGTCTGGGGTCTGGAGCAGAGTCGCTTCCTGGGCTGGACCCTGAGGTTTCCCCACCTACAGCACAGAGCGGGCTGAGGACACCCGCCTGTCCAAAACAGGTGCTGGGCGAGGGGTAAATCAGGAACTTGAGGTGAACATACACGTCCTGCTGCACAGAAAACAGACAACCAACGCAGACCTCCTGCTCAGCACAGAGAACTCTGCTCGATACGCTATAACAACCCACGTGGGAAAAGAACCTGAAAACGAATGGATACGTGTGTACGTGTAACTGGATCACTTTGCTGTACACCTAAAACTAGCCCAGCATGGTAAATTAACTATAATACACAACAAAATTTTTAGAAAATGTGTTGTTGCAGGCTGCTAAACTTGTGATAACAGAAAATAAATATGATTTTAAATATAGATATACATTTGAATGGCTTCCCAGTTGGCGCTAGTGGTAAAGAACCCACCTGCCAATGCAGGACAAGTAAAAGAGGTGGGTTCGATCCCTGGGTTGGGAAGATCCCCTGGAGGAAGGCATGGCAATCCACTCCAGTATTCTTTCCTGGAGAACCCTGTGGACAGAGGAACCTGGTGGGCTACCATCCATAGGGTCACAGAGAGTCAGACACTACTAATGCAACTTAGCACAGCATGGCATACATTTGAATAAATTGATTTTATTTATTTTTTAAAAAGCAGGTGCTAAGAGAGTTTCCTGCACCTTGACTGTCAAGGCTGCCATAGTGCCTGCCCACTGGGCCTTAATCCAGATCCCAGAAATAGAGCACTTCATCCTTTTCCCTCCAAAGGCACCCACTTTACTGAGAAAACCACCTTCAAATCACGGCCAACAGGAGCGAGGAAGGGTCCCCAGACGTCCTAGTCCACCCCAGGTGACCCTGTCTCTTGGATCAGCCGAGCCCTTTTCTTTCCTGATTCTCCAGTGAATTCCACTCCCTTCGTAGGTTTGTGTCTGCACCTCCTTTTCTCAGCCTCCACGTGCCTCTCTGATAAAGGTTAGCACAGCTAATACACACGCTGTTCCCCAAACTGCCTTCCCGTTCACCACCTCCATCACCTATGCCAACCCAACCCTTCAGCCCAGCCCTGAGTGGCCAGGCCACGGGCATTCTGGGCCCAGAAAATCCATCCTCAGCCACAGAGGGCTTTGAAGGCCTTGTTCCCGGCATGGCAAGAAAGCAGACAGGGGTTAGGGACTGGCAGGGACCGTGTGTCCCCGGTGGGCAGACGGGGCCTCATAAAAGCCACAGCAAGCAATTAGTGGCAGCCAGGGTCTTCAGGAGACTTTTATGGCGCCAGTGCACTTGAGCGACTGCACTGGAAAATTGGCCATTCCGCGGGGATTAATGAGCAATTCACTGTCAGAGGACAAGGTGCACTCTCGAAGAAAAGAGTGACAAAGGAACTCAGTTCCCCAGGGATTCAACTTAACAACCCTTTTCTTTCTGCATACTGAGAAGGAAATGTGGGGAAATCACCACCTGCCAAGAACAGCACTCCGAAAATTCTCCTCCAAAATATGAGAAGCCAGCCAAGGGCCCAGCACAGAGACTGTTTGCCCTCCGAGGGGTCAGGCCCGCTGGCCAGGCAGCCAGAAGGCTTGTTAGACAAACCAGCACCAGCCATAGAGTCGAGGGTTCCTGTCCACGGGCCACAGCAGATTGAATTGAACTGCTTCACAATGGTTGCTCAAATGTCTTTGAGCAGATACTTCCTTTAAAAGCACCCAGGTTCAGGAAGGAGTGTCAGTTTTGAGAAACCTAATTAAAGGCTTGAACACTATGTCACACTAGAAAACCAAAATGAAGTTTTCACTCAATAAAGTGGTTCACAGCAAAGAAAAGCTGCAGTTGTGTCTATAATTAAAAATACTATTGCTTCAAACAACAAACTGTGGAACATTCTTAAACAGATGGGAATACCAGACCACCTGACCTGCCTCCTGAGAAATCTGTACACCAGTCAAAAAGCAACAGTTAGAACCAGACATGGAACAACAGACTGGTTCCAAATCAGGAAAGGAGTACGTCAAAGCTGTATATTGTTACCCTGCTTATTTAACTTAAATGCAGAGTACATCATGTGGAATGCCAGGCTGGATGAAGCACAAGCTGGAATCAAGGCTGCTGGGAGGAATATCAATAATCTCAGAAATGCAGATAACACCACCCTTATGGCAGAAAGCAAAGAGGAATTAAAGAGACTGTTGATGAAAGTGAAAGAGGAGAGTGAAAAAGTTGGATTAAAATTCAGCATTCAAAAAATGAAGATCGAGGCATCTGCTCCCAACAATTCAGGGCAAAAGATGGGGAAACAATAGAAACATTGTCAGACTTTATTTTCTGGGGCTCCAAAATCACTACAGATGGTGACTGCAGCCATGAAATTAAAAGATGCTTGCTCCTCGGAAGAAGAGGTATGACCAACCTAGACAGCATATTAAAAAGCAGAGATATTATTTTGCTGACAAAGATCCATCTAGTCAAAGCTATGGCTTTTCCAGTAGTCAGGTATGGATGTGAGAGTTGGACTATAAAGAAAACTGAGCACCGAAGAATTGATGCTTTTGAACTGTGGTGTTGGAGAAGACTCTTGAGAGTCCCTTGGCCTGCAAGGAGATCAAACCAATCAATCCTAAAGGAAATCAGTCCTGAATACTCATTGGAAGGACTGATGCTGAAGCTGAAACTCCAATACTTTGGCCACCTAATGCGAAGAACTGACTCACTGGAAAAGCCCCTGATGCTGGGAAAGATTGAAGGTGGTAGGAGAATGGAATGACAGAGGATGAGATGGCATCACTGACTTGATGGACATGAGTTTGAGCAATCTCCGGGAGTTTGTAATGGACAGGGAAGCCTGGCGTGCTACAGTCCATGGGGTTGCAAAGAGTCTGACACAACTGAGCAACTGAACTGAATGGAACAGATTACTTCAAACAAATTACCTCAAAAATATCCTTCAATTTTCCAGTATCTCTCATATCTTTCCAGTATCCACATAGTTACTAAAGAAATAAAGTCAAATGAGCCCAAGTCAATATTTTAATTTTGATTTCATTAAATAGCAACTTGGCTCAAATCCGAAGTGGGTTAGAGGTAGGTGAATTCAGTTCACACAACAGGAAAATTCCAAACTTTTCTCAAGGGCAATTTCCTACTTGAATGGGAATCTTTCTCTTTTATACAAACATGTATTCTAAGAGGTAGCTATGACAGTGGGGACAATAGGAAAACGAGGATTAAGAGTGGAATCCAACCAAGAGCAAACTGGGCAAGGACCTCAATAGGTGATTCAGGAAAGAAGAAAGGGGATGACCCCATATGATCCCGTGACCTCACTTTCCCCAGGAGAAAAGAAAGGAGAGACATACACACTTATCGGCAGATGCATCGATTTCTTTTAAAACCTGAATAATTCCAGTCCTGGTGAGGATGCAGGCAATGAACACAGTCAGACTTGCTGTTTAGACTTTGGTCTTGGGACGTCCTCCTGAAGCATCCATCACGCTTAGCAGGCGGGCGCCCTGTGACCCGCCGTTTCACCCAGTGAAACCCCAGCAGGACGAGACACCAGCACACAGACACAACATGTGTGTGGACATCTGTGTTTAGACACACAGATACACAGAGGTGTGTGCAATGCCCATTGTGAAGTTGCCTATGAGAAACAGTAAAAATTAAAACCTAAAAAGGCCCTGAATACTAAATAAATACTACACCTACACTCTATTCATTAATGTATTTCAGGCTATCAAGTTCAAGGAACCCAGAACAACTTAAAGGTAGAAACACATCATCTCCCAGGATGAGAGGTGGCAGGTGCTGGGGGCAGAACTGGGCAACTCAGGGCTTCCATCACTGAACCCCGACGCCCTGGCAAGCCTGTCTTCCTCCTCACGTTTCCGTGGCAACAAGGAGGCTGGAGTGACAAGGACCCCGCCCCCTTAAACAATGGCCAGAGGCCAGAACACGGGACCTGGCACTTCAGGGGTCAGAGTTATTACACACAGGCCCCTTTGTGAGCCAGCTGCCAGCAAGCAGGTCGGAAACAGCACAGCCCGAGCCCCCCAGCGATCCTACTCCACCCCGGCTGTGCCTCTAAGGAGGGAACCTGGAGACGCCCTTCGCAGGGGGTGGGGACGGGGTGGGGCAGACTGCAGCTCCTGCCACCTCCACTCAGCAACTGCATGCCCTCCATCGGGCCCCACACACTCGTACTTGGGGGCCCTGACCCCCAGCTTATCAGAAAGTGACCTCATGTGGAAACAGGGCCTTTGAGACGGAACTATTAAGATGAGGTTTCATAGCAGTAGGGTGACCCCAATCCGGTATGACTGCCGTCCTCATTAAAGGGGGAACGTGGAGACCAGCTTGGAAGCTCCTGCCGGAATCTCTGGGCAGGCTCTGGGTTGGCACCGGGGCGTGGGGTGGGAAGGGGAGGAGAATGCTGGATTCGGGTGTCATGGACCCATGTGCGGCGGCTCCCCTTCCTTCCTCCCACATCTCGCCATCTCCTAGAGGCTGGAGGAGAGGGTCCAGGGTTCTAGACTAAGTCGGCCTCACATTCGTGGTGAGGAGGAGCCCCGGGGTGGGAAGAAGGGAATCCAAATTCTCACCTAGACTTGCGGCCGACCGCGATCTGACCCAGCCAGGACCTTCCCTCAGGGGGCTCGGGGGGCTCGCGTCTGAAGTGATGCCGGTTCGATGCTTCCTCGGATGTGCTCAGCTCGTTTTCCAGTCTTTCGATCCAAACGCCCATGTCACAGGTTAGTGTGATTTTAAATAAACTCCGTATCCAAAAAGGGAGGGATGTGGACAAAGAGACGGACACACAGGGAGACGCCCCGTGACGTCAGGAGTGAGGCTGCCCCAGGCCGAGGGGCGCCCAGGAGCTGGGGAAGGCCTGGACTGGGGCCCTGAGACACCGGGGCTGGACTTCCAGCTCCAGAACGGGGGGGAGCACACTTCTGTCATTGAAGGCACGCAGTTTGTGGCTCTTCTGTAGGGCAGCTCTCAGGAAAAGCCCAGAAGCTGAGACCAATACCCCCACTCAGGTTGGGGACGCCCCCGGGTCCAGCTGGCCGACAGCTCCTGTGTTGGGTGTTTTACAAATGACAGCCGTTCACCTTCGTTCTACTTTGCTTTTCCTCTTCCAGTTCATTCTGAAAGAAAAGCGGTTCACAGATGGGGGCAAAATGCCGCGGTGCTCTTTAAGATAAAGCAGACCCCCTCAGTGAGTCCTGCACCCGGCCGTGGTCTGACCAGGGCTGACTTCACAAGCAGGACCCAGGGTGCGCATGTCCCAGCCTCGGTGTCCTGTTTTCTGTTGTTACAGTGAACACAGCAACAATCATCCTAAATGCTTTGCAAGTCTTAACTCATTCGTTCTTCCCCAATAAATCCATAGAGTGTGAGTTATTATTATTATCACCTATAAAACGGCACAGTTTACAGAGAAAGAAACTCAGAGAGGGAGATTAAGTAACTTTTTCAATTTCATAAAACGACAAAGAGGTGTAGCCAGGATTAGAACTTAGTTTCTCACTCCCTGACTTCCCTGGGGGCTCAGGTAGTAAAGAATCCGCCTGCAATGCAGGAGACCCAGGTTCGAACCCTGGGTCAGGAAGATCCCCTAGAGAAGGGAATGGCCACCCACACCAGGATTCCTGCCCGGAGAATCCCATGGACAGAGAAGCCTGGCGGGCTACAGTCCACAGGGTCACAAAGAGTCAGACACGACTGAGCAACTAACAACACTTCTTCACTTCGGTTCAGCTCAGTCACTCAGTCGTGTCCGACGCTTTGCGACCCCATGAAGCGCAGCACTCCAGGCCTCCCTGTCCATCGCCAACTCCCGGAGTCCACCCAAACCCATGCCCACTGAGTCGGCGATGCCATCCAGCCGTCTCATCCTCTGTCGTGCCCTTCTCCTGCCCCCAACCCCTCCCAGCATCAGGGTCTTTTCCAGCAACACTTCTTCCTCCCCCGCAGTGGGGCTGCCAACACAGCCCTGTGACCCGCACTCTCACCAGGCCGCCTGCCAGCCCTGCTTACATGGAACGAGACACGCTCCTCAAACACTGACCTTCCTTTTCCTCCTGAATCCGCACATTGAGGGCGACAGCCACACGTTCCCAACACAGAAGATGAGAATCAGTTGACATATTTATTCCTCTACAATGTACTGTAGCGCATTGGAAATAAAGTACTGAGCTTGGAAAGCAAGTTCACGGTTTACCGAAGGGGACAGAGGAGGAGAAGGGACAAATTATGAGTTTGGGGCTAAAAGAGACATGCTAACGTACATAAAACAAGGACCTACTGTATCGCACGAGGAACTATAGTCAATGTTTTGTAATAACCTATAAGGGAAAAGAATCTAGAATATATATATATATATAATGAAGGTGCTGTATCTCTGAAGCTAATACAACATTGTAAATCAACTGTGCTTCCATTAAAGAATAACAGTAAAATGCGCCGGGCCTAGTGGCCAAGTGGTTAAGAACCCACTCTGCAATGCGGGGCACAAGGGGTCTATCGCTGACTGGGGGCCTAAGATCCCACACGCCTCGGGCGACGAAGCCCACGCGCCAGGCAAGAGAGTCCGTGCGCTGCAACAGAAGATCCCACAGGACACCAAAGACGGGAGGCAGCCAAATAAATAAAACATGTAAATAAAATAATGATAAAGTGAGGTACCTAGCAAACTCCCAAGTCAGCCGGCACACGGTGTAGGGGAGAAGGCAGAAACTCCGCGGCGACCAGCGTCGCCCGGGGACATGGCCTTGCGCCCGGGCTGACCCCGGCTCCCTCCGCCGCGGGCGTGGTCCTGCCGCGGGCGTGGTCCTGCCCCGGAACCCCCGGAGGGACCAGCTGCCTCCGCTCTCAGAGCCGCGCGGGCCTTCACGGGCTCCCGGGCCGGCCGCCTCCACGTTTTCCTCGTGTGGACCCTGAGGTTTGTCCGACACTCCTTCTAAGGCGGTACAAGAGGGGCTGAAACTGCCTGCGCACACGCGATCTCGGTGTATTAGTCTTTTGCTTCCCTTTTCTCGGCAGATTTTAACAGCAGAAACGGCGGTGGAGCTAACCGCTCCTCCAGCTGTGATCGCGGGCGGTGGGGTCCGGGGGCTCCGGGTGCCCACAGCTCTCGGGGGTTCTGGGTGCCACGTGCAGGGCCTGCTTTTGGGGGGGGGGGAGCCACCCTGCTTAGCAGCCAGCGCCAGAATCAAAGACGCGGATTGCCTGACTTTAAATTGTCTCGCTTCTACAAATGAAGGAAGAGGGAAACAGTGAGATTCCTTGTAAGTGGCAGCGAGGACCCACAGTCTGTTCCGGGGCCTTAGTCTGACCTCAGATAAAGAATAATGAAGGAGCAAAGCCACTTGAGCAGCCTCCAGCCCGTGGAGAGCAAACCTCGAGGAAGCCGGAGAGCAGAGCCTCCGGGGCCTGGGGGCCCCTTCCTGGGGCCCGCAAACCGCCCCCTGCACCCCCACCCACCTCCCCAGCAAGGAACCGGCAGCTGCTTTCCCAAATGTGTCAGCAACAGCAAATAATAACACCACACATCACAAGGACATCATCAGTGTTAGAATTTGTCCTGCAATGGGTCATTTTTAATTCGATCTGAGTATTCCCACTTGACGGTGAACAATCCTCCAGAGCCTCAGCAAAGTTGGGGAGCAGAAGGCCGGAGGAAGTAGTTTTCTATTTTTTCCTCAAAGTCAGAGACAGCCAGAGCACTCTACCTATCTGTTCACCAAGCGCAGAGGGCGCGGATTCCAGCCCTTAAAGGAAGAAGGTGAGTGTCTACTGCATCCTACTATACGCCCAGCCCAGCAAAAGCACTTTCCACCGCGAAGATCAGGGTGTTTCAAGGGCCACGCGGCAGTCGTGAAGCCTGTTTTTTAGGTGAGGGGCCTGTCTGTCTGAGAGCCTGTGTCCGGAGCTAGGAGACAAGGACTCCGGAGGGCATCCTGGGGGAGGACAGGACGGGGTGGTGTCCACTGGGGAGCTCACCGCGCAGATGCCGGGGCGCTCCGTCAGACGGAGCCTGAGAACCCCTCAGCAGGACACCAGCCCTCTCCCCAGACGTCACAGTGAGAGCGGCCCTGGGACAGAGCCCACAGCCGAGGGGAGCCGCCAAACCCAGACGGCGCGGCCCTCCCTGGTGAGCAGGGGGCGGGAGCGGAAGCGCTGCTGGAAAGCCCACCGTCTGGCCTGCAGCCCTGGCCTCCCGGTGGCCCTGCCTTCCTAGAGAGCACCGCGATTCCTGATGGAAGGCGCAAAATCATTCTGACAATTTAATGCAACACGTGCCGACTGATCACCGCTCCCCCTTCGATAGACAGTGATCGCTGCTCCCATCTCATCCGACGGAAACCGGAGGCACTTTTTTCCTGGCAGAGTCTGCCCACAATTGGAGGCCAGGCCAAGGCCGGGCGCTCGGACCCTCCCTGGCCCCATCCGTCCTGTTCTTCCAGACTTCCTGGCGGAGTTTCTCAGAGCAGGCTCACCTCACGGGTGTGTCCATATGAGGGCCAGACCATCGATGGATGAAACCGGATGGCCATGGTCAGTGCCTTTCTGAAAGGACCCGGATGCTGAGGCAACTTGGCAGAAGTAGGAACGCAGAGAAGGAAGCACCCTGGGACCCCAGGAGGGGCCAGAGCTGCAGGGAAAGGGAAAGCCCAGGGCTCTGAGGCTTCCTGTCCACCCCGAGGTGGATGAACACGCAGAAGAATGGCTACAACCAAGCCTGAATCCATCCTGGTGAAAGGAGGCGGGACGTGCCGCCTCCTCCCTCGGGTTCCTGTAAGCACAGGACGGCGGCCCAAGGACCTGCCGTGCAGCCCTGGGAACCACACTCGATACCGCGTGATCAGTCAGTTCAGGCACTCAGTCACCTCCGACTCTTTGCGACCCCGCTGACTGCAGCACGCCAGGCCTCCTTGTCCATCACCAACTCCCGGAGTTTACTCAAACCTATGTCCATTGAGTCGGTGATGCCATCCAACCATCTCATCCTCTGTCGTCCCCTTCTCCTCCCGCCTTCAATCTTTCCCAGCATCAGGGTCTTTTCCAAGGAGTCAGTTCTTCACACCAGGTGGCCAAATTTGTAATAACCTATAATGAAAAAGAACCTGAAAAGGAATATATATGTATATAACCGAATCACTCTGCTATACACCTGAAACTAATGCAACATTGTGCATCAACTATAGTTCAATAAAAAAAAATTTTTAATAAAATAAGTAGGGGACGCAGATATTAGGCACTAGGTTCTTTCCACGGTACAAGGAGCACATGTGAACACACGCAGTATTTGTTTAATCTGAGCCTTGATAGAACAGGGTTACTACGTATAGGGCTTTCCAGGCGGTGCAGTGGTAAAGAGCACGCCTGCCGATGCAGCAGATTCGGGTCTGACCCCTGGGTCGGGAAGATCCCCTGGAGAAGGAAATGGCAACCCACTTCAGTGTTCTTGCCTGGAGAATCCCATGGACAGAGGAGCCTGGCGGGCTACAGTCCATGGGGTCCCAAAGAGTTGGACACCACTTAGCAACAAAACCACAACAAAAATAGTACATCAAAGGCAATTTTTTAAGTCCAGTAGACCTCTTTCTTACGTGTTTTCTACTGCTGGGTAACACATATGAGGAGCACAGCAGCCCTCACCAACATCTGTTTGCCATCTCTCAGCTCCCGTGGGCCAGGAGTCCAGCCCATTCTCGTGGGTCCTCCGCTCGGGGTCTGACGAGGCTGAAATCAAGATGCCTACTTGCTGCGTTTTCATCTGAAAGCTCAGCTAAAGTACCACACGCAGATCCCTGTGGCTGTTGACAGAATGCAGCCTGTGGCTGTCTGATGAGATCCCCCGTTCCCTCAGCTGTTACCTGGAGACCGCTCTCAGCTTAGAGGTCACTCCTGGGTCCTGGCTCGTGGCCTCTGGGTGGGCAGATCTTACCTGGCCTGTTCCTCAAGGCGGCAGGAGACTCTGATGCTGGAGTCCTACTTGATGCAAAGGTGTCACCTGTGTCTCATGACGTTACCTAACCCAGGAAGTGACTCTCACAGTCCTGGGTGCTCCACACTCACAGGGCGGACACTGCATAGGTCTATACACTTGCGTATGGCAGGGATCTCAGGGCCAGCTTAGGATTCTGAGACATTCATCAATTTGCCTTAGAAGATGTCTTCCTAGTTGGTAGCTTACCTCCCAGAACTAGACTTTCCCACCTTTATTTTAAAAAAAACATATTTAACCAGTTACCTCTCTCAAGTCCTAGGTCAGAGCCTCAGACTTTTGTATTTATAAGCAATGCTTCTGTCGGCTGGTAAGAGCTGTTACTCATGCACACGTGTTTTTGTTTCTCTAAATGGGAATTTGGTACCATTTTGTCAAGAGAGAGTCCTTTCCTTCAAAAGGATGTAGGTTGTTTGCTAAAACTCTGCCTGCCCCCTGGGAGTTGACGTCATGCAAGGCAACCCTTGTTGGAAACAAGAGAAGAGGGGGAGTGCTTGGGAATGGTACCACTTTCAGACAAACAGAATTTTTGTTAGTCTTGATGCTGTCAAACTTTAAAAAATAATCTAGAAAGTAACTGAAGAATAAACAGCGGAGATCAAAGACGAATCAAATAAACTGTAAAATCACCTGCCTGTTGTGTAAATTTGCAAATTTCCTTTGGCGTTTCAACTCTCCAGAGCCCAACGTATTCACCCTCTGCTCAGGCACAGGGCCTCTTGGGGGAGTAGGGGAGGAAGGCACTATGATACAAGCCTATTTAAAAAAAGAGAGAGTTTTATTTTGAAAACACAGTGTTAAAAATTGGTCATTCACATTAGCCTGGGTGTGGTCAGTCGGTTTTTGTAATTCAAACATTTTTGTGTATAAAGAACTCACTCCATTTTAGGAAAAGGAAAATAAGTCCTCCTCTCTGGAAACCTTACAGGGGTGCGCCCTCCACAGAAGCGGACGGAAGAGCCTCTGCCCTTCGCTTCTCTCCCCACCAGCAGGTGAGAGTCTTTCTCTCCAATCATGAACACGCTCTGCCCGACTCCCCGCTCAGACACTGGGTTAGCTCCCAATTCCTTGTGCTTTTTTTTTCTTTTTTTTTTATCCTTGTGCTTTTGCATCGAATGAAATTAACTGGTTGGATGCTGACAGGTCACAAATCAATAGTAGAACTAGATCTTTGAAATATTCATGTGCTGGTTACTCTTGGGACCAGCATGCACGAGAAGAGCCCAGACCTCCTGCCAGCCTACTCACAGACACGACTGCTTCAGCATCCAGATTCTCCTTCCTTCTCACGTCAGCTCTGCTCACCCGTTTCCGCTAGGAAGACGAAGAGCTAGACTCAGAGACGAGGCGGCTGTGACCCCACCTGGGCTCGGCTCCGATCACGTGTTCAGAGCCAGACACGAACCAGGGCAATGCCAGTGAGAGCCAGTGCTGCTTCATCAGTGGTGAAGAACCCGCCTGCCCACGCAAGAGGTGCAGGTTCAACCCTGCGTCGGGAAGGTCCCCTGGAGGAGGGCGCGGCAACCCCCTCCAGCACTCTTGCCTGGAGAACCCCATGGACAGAGGAGCCTGGCGGGCCACAGTCCGTGGGGCCACAGAGTCGGGCACGACTGAAGCGGCTTAGCACGCGCGCCCTCCTCAACGTCACAAGAGGCTCACAGGAGCCCAGGAATGCGCTTGAGATGCCGCTGGCTCAGACAAGGGGCAGAGGGGCCATGGCCCGTCACGCCCACGCAGTTCCCGAGCACCTCTCGCTCGCACGGCCTCGCTGACCCCCACCGACAGCCAGCACTCGCGGCTTCGTGCGCTTCTGCGTTCCTAATGTGGCTTTGTATGCGCTTCTTTCTCTTGATTTGATATTTTCATTTTGACCTTTGGAAGAGCTAGTTTTTAAGCCAACTCAAGTGATCCTTAATTTTTTATTTTCATCTCGTCTTTGTGTTTATCAGTTTCTCCCTCACATTTTATTTGGAAATTATTCAGCTATTCATTTTCTACTTTCTTCAACTGAACACCGGTTTATTAAGTGATTGTGCTTCAATGTGTCTATTTAAGGCTCTGAACATCCCTTAGCCATTCTGCTGCGTGGCGCATCCATTGTTGTCTGAAACAAAACATTTTGTATCTCAACTTTATCTTTAAAACAAACACTTAGAATTACTTTCACAATAAAAATTCTATAAATAAACTGTATGCTATAGACACAATGACTAAATTTTTAAAAATGAAGAAAGTTTGTTAAAAAACTAAATTTCACCACTCTGAAATGATCATCTGCCACTGTTGACAATTATCTTTCCTGTGTCCTTGTGCACACACATGAACTCGCACGTGTAACTTTATGAAATGAGATCATACCGTGACTACTATGACCCTTTCCCAAATGTAGGTTTGATTTCCAAATGTATGGCTTTGGAGGAGGCATAGATAATTTCTGTTTAAAGTCATGGTCTGATCTCATCTCTTTATGGCAAAAAGAGGAGGAAAAGTGGAAGCAATGACAGATTTTATTTTCTTGGGCTCCAAAATCACTGCAGATGGTGACTGCAGCCATGAAATTAAAGTACGCTTGCTCCTTGGAAGGAAAGCTATGACAAACCTAGACAGTGTATTAAAAAACAAAGACACCACTTTGCTGACAAAGATGCATGTCGTCAAAGCTATGGTTTTTTCCAATAGACATGTATGATGTGAGAGTTGGATCATAAAGAAGTCTGAGCACCAAAGAACTGATGCTTTTGAATTGTGCAGAGAAGACTCTTAAGAGTCCCTTGAACAACAAGGAGATCAAACCAGTCAATCTTAAAGGAAATCAATCCAGAATATTCATTGAAAGGACTGATGTTGAAGCTGAAGTTACAACACTTTGGCCACCTGATGCAAAGAAACTACTCATTGGAAAAGACCCTGATGCTGGAAAAAATTGAAAGATAAAGGAAAAGTGGACGGCAGAGGATGAGATGGTTGGATGGCATCACCGACTCAATGGACATGAATCTGAGCAAACTCTGGGAGATGGTGAAGGACAGGGGAGCCTGGCGTGCTGCAGTCCATGGGGTCACAAAGAGTCAGATACGACTGAGTGAACAACCACAACAAATCAATATCTATTCAAGTTATGTGCCCAAATGAAGGGCACTGCCATAACTGTGTGTTATACCCTATCAACACAATCCATTGCATCAGACCACGGACGTGTTCATCTTTTATTAGACAGTTTCAGCAGGAAGTGTGCCCGCTCGGCATCCGGGAGGTCTGCACATTCCATTCTCTGGGCAGCACTTTCTTCACCAGAAAACAGGGTCCCCCATCCCGGGCGCCCAGACTCTGAAAATCTGACAATTTGCCCAGTGGACATTAAGAGGTCAGCACATTCTAGTTCCCATGGCCCATCGGTGCCCTGTCTGTCACTCATTTGGCAAATATACTTATAAGGGTCTTGTCATCTCCAATATTGAAGAGGCGTTCTAAGCGCTTTGGGAAAACAGAGAATGGACGTGGCCGTCCCCTTAGACAGGGTGTCCCCACAGCATGGTGGGCGGGACCAGGGCTGTTATGTGGGAGTCACATTAGTGCTCCCATTTCTTCCCCAAAGAGTCCCAACTGGACGGCAATGTCGAGGGTCACCTTGAGCAAAGATTCCGCTGCCTAGAGCTGCAGGCAGAGGACCGGGGATGCAAAGTGTGAAAGGGAGAGCTGGAGCTAGGGGTGCAGGGAGGGGGACACGCCCAGGCAGCGGGCAGAGTGGGGAGGGTGTTGCCCCGCAGAGACCGGGGCTGGGCGCAGCGGAAGGTCGCCTGGAGCCGGGGGGCCCGGGTCTGGGCGCCGTGACGTCACACGGGTGAAGGGTGACCTGGAGCCATGGGGGGGCAGCGCGTCCTCGCTCAGTGAGGGGCTGGGCATGCAGCCGGTCCCCAATCCCGCGGAGGACATGGGTGAGCCCTGTGACCCCCCTGAACGCCTCTCCCTCACCAACCACATGGGACAGCTCTGCCTCGGATGGTGGTCCTGAGGAAGTGAACACCGCAACGACCACTAGAACGGACACAGCGACGGTCGCCCTAGAGAGCAGCTCACAGGGCGGGTGAGCTTCAGGTGCCTGGAGGTGGGGGCAGGCGGGCAAGAAAGGGGCTGTGGCCGAGAGGGAGCTGTGGGCCAGCAGAAGCTGCTTGTGCATGTTTAAATGCCATATAACGGCCCAGTGAGCAGCATTTCCAGAAACACTGCATACCATAGGTACCAAATAAATGCAAATAGGATTGAATACCGTACTCATCAAACACACGTCTGAAATCCCAGGCAACATGCTCCAGGAGGGCTGTGGCTCAGAAGGGCTCCAGCAGGCGTCCACTCGGCCCTCCGGGTCTCCTGGCCCCCGGCTTCCTCTTGACCACACGCGGGCTTGTCGGGCTCTCAGGCGTGTCCAGTCAGAGCATTGCAGGGGCTTTGTTCTTTCTTCAGAGGAGACTGATTCTTTTGCTCTGCACCCCCATCTTCCTGGAGTTCTGACACTTCAATTTCTGTACATGCCTCTCAGACTCGGCGTGGTGTGGTATTAAATATGTGTGTGATTATCAGGAATTGCAATTAGCTTTGTTTTGAAAACCTCCAGCACCCCTTGGGATGGTTCGAGGCATGGCAGGGTGGAGGAATCATTTCTCAAGCCGCTCAGCTAATTCTGTGGGAAAGTGTGACAGGCATGAGAATGCAGATAGCGGCACTTCCCCTCCCAGCCTGGGAGCGCTGCTCCGAGGCTTCACGGAAACCCCTCACATCTGGGCCGGATCCCGCATGCGCTGGGAGCCCACGGGGCTGGGACCAGGCAGGAGCAGGCGGTGGGAGTGGGGAGACGCCGGAGCAAGGTTGGGGTGGGGTCGACAGACCGGAGACGGCTCTAGGCTCGGGGCAGAAGGCAGAAGGCTCCCCTCTGTCTCCCAAGGCTGAACCGCTTCTCCCTGCACTGAACAGTTTCACTGAGCCCACGAACCAGGAGGAACCGTCCCTCTCCACTCTCATAAATAATCTTGAGCACCTTCCACACACCAGACGCTGCCTTAGGGGCTGGGGCGGAGGGGTGACGGGGGCCATGTGAGGATAAGTAAGTCAGAATCCTTGCCCTGAAGGGGTCCCCGCTGCTGCGCATTATAATCCAAGGCAGACGGGCCAAGTCTTGGAAGAGGAAGCAATGTTTATCCCCGGCTGGGGTCTGTCAGGGAGGACAGGCGTTTCATCTGCATCTTGAAGACACAGGAGGATCTCAGCTCTGAGAACGGCAGGGAGAGGAGAGGCTGTCTGACACAGAGAGCGGTCAGAAAGCCAGGGACGCGGGGCGCTGGGCGGGTCCCGGGTCAGCAACGTGCTGGACCGCAGAGGGGATGCTGGGTGGAGGGGGCGCTGGGCAGGGGGACGTTGAACCACAGAGGGAGCGCTGGGCGAGGGGAACGTGCAAGGTGGGGCCCACCATGGCCACACACACACACACACACACACACATGTGCACACATATATGCACACATGCACAAATGTACACACAGTGCACTCACCTGCCTTCACACACATGCATTCACAGATGCGTGCTCCCACACGTCTGCACTCACGCTCACACTCACGCACACGCACCCTCCTGCGTGGGGGGGACCACCATCCAGAGCCGCGAGGCTGGCAGCCCTGGTAGCCCCTGAGAGCTGGGTCCCACAGCTCCAGGAGAGGGAGCAGGCGAGGCCTCGGGGTAGAACCAGGAGCCACGGAGGAGCTGGAGATGGAGACCTCAGGCCCTGAGGGCGTCCGGAGGGCGGCGAATCCTCAGCGCCAGGCGGCCCTGAGGGAAGGGGACAGGAGCCCGAAGCGCCCTGCACCCAGCCTTCCTCCCCGCCTCCGGGCCTGAGAGCCCCCGCCCGCCCGGCCGAATCCAGGGCCTGAGGCTCCGGCGCTGGAGCAGGTCCCTGCCCCGCAGGCACACGAGGGCCTGTGGACGCGCCCGAGCCCGTTGGGGCCGGCGCCGTGGGGCTCCTGCTTGGGGGAACCTGAGGGCAGCCCCCTCCCCGAGCCTCCCCGCCAGCCCTGGGCTGGCTCCCCCTGGTCTGTGCCTGGACGGGCCCTTGGGGTCACAGGGGCCCATCTCACAGCGTCCTGGACGCCTGCCCAGAGGTGCACCCCCGAGGGAGCAGCACGAGTGTCTCAGACGCTCCCTGCCACCCAGGTGAGAGATGGGCCCAGGTTCCACACGCAGTCACTTCTCCACCCGCCCATGGCCAGCACGCGCGCACACACACACACACTCACTCCTGCACCTTCCCACGGCCAGCACACACACACTGCACACACACTGCACACACTCACTTCCCCACTCACCCACAGCCAGTGCGTGCACACACACACATGCACGCACACTCACTTCTGCACCTGCCCACGGCCAGCACACACACACGCACACACACCACACACACTCACTTCTCCACCCGCCCACGGCCTGCACACACACACTGCACACACTCACTTCACCTGCCCACAGCCAGCATGTGCACACACACACACTGCACACACACGCACACTCACTTCTCCACCCGCCCGTGGCCAGCACACACGCACACATGCACACACTCACTTCTGCACCTGCCCACGACCTGCACACACACTGCACACACTCACTTCTCCACCCACCCACAGCCAGCGCACGCACACACACACAAACAAGCACACTCACTTCTGCACCTGCCCACGGCCAGCACACACACACACTCACACACTCACTTCTCCACCCGCCCACAGCCCGCACACACACACACACACACACTCACTCACTTCTCCAGCCGCCCACGGCCCGCACACACACACACACACACACACACACACACTTCTCCAGCTGCCCATGGCCCACACACACACACACACACACTCACTTCTCCACCCACCCATGGCCAGCACACACACACATACACACTCACTTCTCCACCTGCCCATGGCCCCCCCACACACACACACTCACTTCTCCACCCACCCATGGCCAGCACACACACACACACACACACACACACTCACTTCTGCACCTGCCCGTGGCCCGCACACACACACACACACACACACACACTCACTTCTCCACCTGCCCGTGGCCAGCACACACACACACACACACACACACACTCACTTCTGCACCTGCCCGTGGCCCTCACACACACATACACACACTCACTTCTGCACCTGCCCAAGGCATGCACACACACACACACACATACACACACACACACACACTGCTGAAATACAAGTGGTTCCAACAACAAGGTCATGAAAAACAGAGACACATGGCACATTAAAAATAAGCCAGTCTCCTGTACAAACACCAAAAGGCTAACCAAAATATTGCTCAACTAAGTGTAGGATATATTGAAAATATCAAATAAAGTTTATGCCAATAATGCAGGGGTGGTTCTTGTTCAAAAATGTTATTGTAATTGACCACATTAATATATTAAAGCAGACAAAAAGTATAACCATCTTAGCAAATCCACAACAAATTGTTTGGTAAAATTACAAACCCATTAGAGATTTTTAAAAATACAGTAGTGAAAAAAAAGAGAGCTTCCTTAGTGGGGGGAAAGGGTACCAACTAAAAACCCACAGCAAACATCACAGAAACTTCAAAGTCAGAAAGAGGACTTTGGTGTTTGCAACTGTTTTCCTTACACGGAACTGTCCTTGTATAGGAGAGTCCAGGCAGATCAATAAGAAAAGAAATACAAATATAATCGTAAAGGAGGAAATTAAACTGTCATTATGCACAGAGATATGGTTATGTGTGTGGTGCTAAATCGCTTCAGTCACGTCCAGCTCTTCGCGATCCTATGGACTGTAGCCCGCCAGGCTCCTCTGTCCATGGGATTCTCCAGGCAAAAATTCTGGGGTGGGTTGCCATTTCTTCCTCTATCAATGCATAAATCAAAATCATTTCCAGACACCATTTTAGAACTAGTTGAAGAGATCAGCAAGGTTGCTGGATGCAAGATCAATGTAGCAAAGTCAGTTACACAAGCAACAAACCTAGATGCCCATCAATGGATGAAGCAGTAAGGAAGCTGTGGTGCATATACATGGTGGAATATTACTTGGCCATGAAAAGGAACGCATCTGAGTCAATTCTAATGAGGTGGGTGAACCTAGAGCCTATTATACAGAGTGAAGGAAGCAAGAAAGAAAAAGAGAAATATCGCATATTAGTGTGTATACCCGGAATCTAGAAAGATGAGTACTGACAATCCTATGTGCGGAGCAGCACGGGAGGCTCAGACATGGAGGACAGATATCTGGACACAGTGGGGGGAGGAGGGGCAGGACGATTTGTGAAAACAGCCATGAAATATACACGTTACCATAGGTGAGACAGAGAGCCAGCGGGAGTTTGCTGTTTGATGCAGGGAACCCAAAGCCGGTGCTCTGTGACGACCTAGAGGGTGGGAGAGGCAGGCAGGAGGAGGGGACGGGTGCAGAGGAAGAAGACATACTCATACCTGTGGCTGATTCATGCTGACGTATGGCAAAAACCACCACAATACTATAAAGTAACTATTCTACAATTAAAAATAAAATATAAATTTTAAAAAAAGAAAATGCAGTTTTAAAAAGACACCTCTCATTTCTCAAAACGCTGACTGGGACACAAACAAGGACCCAGAGGCCACCTTGAAGAGGGAGCCACGGGCTGAGTTTGGAATAACTTGAACAACAAAAAGAATGACGACAGAATGGACGGTGATTCTTGGATGAACTAAAAGAATGCGTTAATCTATTCTGATGCTAACATTACGGAAGTGTGGGGAGTGAAGTCTTCAAGAAAATGCTGATAACTAAGAAGAAACAATGGAACAGAAGACTGCGGCTCTGCCTCCAGCACGGACTTAGCAACAGATGTGAAAACCACCAGGTGCAAGACGCAGGGATCGGGATTTCACAAAGTCTCAAAGAATCGCTCCCCAAATTACCTATTAGTTACAACAGGAAAAGATGCCTTTATCATGAAGAAATCTGGCAGATACCACCCTAACCAAGTGGACAAACCTCCCACCCCAGTAAGGAGACAAAGTGACGTCGGTTGCCTCCCTCTGTGACGGGCGGGGGAGACGCTCACCTGTACACTCGCCTGGGCTGCTCTTGGGCCGGCAACTTGACTCTCAGGAACAGCTCAGAGCAGAGAGGAGTCCTTGGTCAGCTCCTAAATCAGACCAGAGGGAGAAAACATGATTAATATTGCCACTGAACCATCAGCAACACCTGAATGTGGATTATGTACTGGATAGTAAAGCATTAATGTTAAATTTCCCACCTGTGATCACTGCATTGTGTCTATGCTTTTGTTCTTAGCTAATGCAAGCTGGCATGAAGTGGTGTGAGGCTGGCAAAATGTACACATATGTTTATATGGGGGAGGAAGAGAGAGAGAGAAGGGGAGAGACCAGGAGTGGGCATAACGAGATGCTCCCAGCTCTGGACTTGGAGAAGGCATGTGAGTGCTCACAGTGCTATTCTAGTAACTTCACTGTAGGCTTTAGTTTTTCAAAAAGTAGGAAATGAAAAGATGGTATTTAAATAGCAAAAGGAAGAAAGATCTCTAGTAAGAAATTCAACAAAAATTTCAAGGATATGTAGATAAATTACGCAACCTCACCAAAAACCACAAAGGTCAATATAAACGTGAATACATGTATGCATCAGCAAAGACTCTCTTGGCTAAACTCCAGCCAGGCCCCTCCGACCTCTCAACTAACCCTCAACTGCACCTGTAATAACCTGAACAAACACTCACCTAGTTTCTAACAACTCAAGGCCACACCCCCGTGATGAGCCTGGACGCCTTTACAGTGCCTGAGGAAACTCTGGGAGCCAGAAGAGCTGCCTGTGCTCCAGCGGAAGCTGATGAGCCCCACATCCGGCCTCTGCGGGAGGGCAGGAGCCCACTTCACTGAGCACCGCATGGCCAGCCTAGATGGGCTTCTCACAGACCACTTCCCCGCTTCACCTGTGCCCCCACACACCCCCTCCCCAGTCCCCAGTCCCTCCTTCAAAGCCCCCAGCTCCCAGGGCACCCACAGAAGTGGGGTCCTATAGCAACAACCAGATACCCAGAATAGTCCAGCGTGGTCAGCGCGCGCGAATCTCGGCAACCAAATGCTCGGTGGACAAAGGCAAATCTGTGACGGACTTGTTCAGAATTATTTGTGGATCAAATTCACCAAAACTAAACTAAAAGTTTAGAACCTGTTACCCTCCAAAATCACTGCAGATGGTGACTGTAGCCATGAAATTAAAAGACGCTTACTCCTTGGAAGGAAAGTTATGACCAACCTAGACAGCATATTGAAAAGCAGAGACATTACTTTGCCAACAAATGTCCATCTAGTCAAGGCTATGGTTTTTCCAGTAGTCATGTATGGATATGAGAGTTGGGCTATAAAGAAAGCTGAATGCTGAAGAATGGATGCTTTTGAACTGTGGTATTGAAGACTCTTGAGAGTCCCTTGGACTGCAAGGAGATCCAACCAGTCTATCCTAAATGAAATCAGTCCTGAACATTCATTGGAAGAACTGATGCTGAAACTGAAACTCCAATACTTTGGCCACATGATGTGAAGAACTGACTCATTGGAAAAAAACCCTGATGCTAGGAAAGATTGAGGGCAGGAGGAGAAGGGGACAACAGAGGATGAGATAGTTGGATAGCATCACCGACTCAATGAATATGAGTTTGGGTAAACTCCAGGAGTTAGTAATGAAAAGGCAGGCCTGGCGTGCTGCAGTCCGTGGGGTCATAAAGAGTCGAACACGACTGAGTGACTGAACTGAACTGAACTGAACCCTTGAAAGAATAGGCAGGAACTGTGTGATACAGAGCTTAGAAGGTGGATTACCTACTTGTCCTCGTGACAGACAAGGATCCAGGGTACACCGGGCCCTTGAAAGTTCGGGTAACACCCCTCCCTTAAATTCCTGGTGGATACAGTTTATCCTTTACACTGCACATGTAAGTTCTGTGCATGTGCATGCAAAGTACGTTGCACAATAGTTCTTACAGGAGGCTGCCCGATGGGCCCACAGTCAGCAGGTCAGGAGGGGCTCCGGTCCTCAGGGGCTGCAGGTGTGACCTTGGAGGCAGTGCCCGTCAGAGGACTGGCAGCAGGAACCACAGCAAACAGCAGGTGCGTCTCAATCATTATCTGTCTTAAAACGAACAGGCGCTGGGCACAGCCCTCACCTGACCTGCGTGTGAGCAGCCCCCTCTTGCATCCTGGGCTTCCCTGCATCTCTTCTTAGATGTCCCCAGGGGCAAGACGGGGATCTGAGAATGCTCAAAACAATAAAAAGCCACACACTGAGGATCCACCAAAGCCTGAAGACACCAAAGCAGGACCCATCCCATCCACACAGTCCAGAAAGACTGTTCTCAGCCCTTCTGACCCCTCCGACACCCCAGCGCTGGCGGGGCTGGGTCAGACTGTGAGAGGGCGAAGCAGGCTGAGCCTGGCCCCAGAGCAGCAGGTCCTGATCCCAGGGCTGTGACGTGGCCTTGTAAGGAAAGGGGTCTCTCCTCCCCAGGGGGATCTCCTCTGGGGCTGGAGGGTCTGGGAAGGTTTGGGGAGAACATGGATTAGATGGTCATGAGGTCATGGGGTCCTGGGGCGTCGGGGTTGCAGGGGGTCCTGTGCACAGACCGGGTCCCTCCACACGGCTCCTGCCAAGGCCCCCCGCCTTCACCCTGCATTTTGGCACCCTGTCTCCCGAAGCTCTGCCAGAGAAGGAATATGTGCTTCCCTCAGCACTTTTCACTCACCTTAGACGTGCTTTTCACGCTTTACCACATTCATACATTTAATTAAGCAGGTTGATTTGACAGATAACCGTGTCCTTTTCCTGGCTGTCTACTCCTGATGTGCAGTTTGGAAAGATGGGACCTGTGTTTAGAGCAGATTTATAAGAAAGTCAGTGCCTGTGGACCCATCATGGTGGTGGCTTCTTCTTCGTTGTAGCCTGGGCTCAGGAAAATCACAAACGAAGGGAATATGTGCTAGAATCGCACGAAGCACTTGAAAATACTGTTTCAAAAGCTAAATGAAGCTGTGGAATTAAAGAGGAACCGAGAGCCTGACTCACGGTGAGAAGAGAGACCCAGCCCAGCTAGGAAGGGGGTGGCCCAGGACAGGCTCACTCGTTACCCAGCGATGTTTGTTCACGTCTTATCCCAAATGCCTGCATCTAAGCAGTAAAGCCTTCTCTCTCCCGCCCTTGACAAAGAACTAAAGCCCCAAGGCAGTCATCGGAAAGACTAAAATAAAACAGAATCTGCATAAACAAACTTACCTCCCACCAGCTCTGAGGCACAGCCGCTGTGTCTCCATCTTGGATCACAGGTAGGCTCGGCCCCCGGCTGGATGGGGAGGCGGGAAACGTGGGTGTGCAAAGCTCAGACACCTGGCCCCAGCAGTGGAGGGTGACCTGCAAAGGGGCTTTGAATTCTGGACAGAGACAAAAGTATTGATCGAAAGCCCCAGCCGCTGGTTCAGAACTTCAGTTCTTTCTGAGACCATTTTGATAGTGTCTGAAGTCCCGTTCCTGTGGCCAGGACCCTCCCCCCAAAAGCCTCTCCACATTTTGCCCCGAGAGTGACAGTGCCCACGCGGGAGAGGCCCCAGCCTCGTGTGGCCACTCTCCCTGTTTGTGGGGTGAATCGTGCCCCCCAAAAGCTATGTTGAAGGCCTCCCCCCAGTACCTGAGCTGCAGCTTTATTCAGAGATCAGGTCTTTACAGATGCACTTGGTTACGAGGAAGTCAGACTAGACCAGGGAGGATTGGAACAGAGACTTTGAAGATGCAGTTGAGCTAAGATGGGGTCATTCTGGGTGAAAGTGAAAGTGAAAGTCGCTCAGTCGTGTCCGACTCTTTGTGACCCCGCGGACTGTACAGTCCATGGAATTCTCCAGGCCAGAATACCGGAGTGGGGAGCCTTTCCCTTCCCCAGGGGATCTTCCCCACCCAGGGATCACACCCAGGTCTCCCGCATTGCAGTCAGATTCTTTACCAGCTGGGCCACCAGGGAAGCCCAAGCATCCTGGCGTGGGCAGCCTGTCCCTTCTCCAGCAGATCTTCCGGACCCAGGAATCAAACCAGCGTCTCCTGCACTGCGGGCGGATTCTTTACCAGCTGAGCTTCCAGGGTGGGCTCTAACTCCTATATGACCACTGGCCTCGTGAGAAGAAAAGAGACTGACATGCCGGGAGAACACCAGAGACACGGAGGCCCGAACTGGAGTGACGCGTCTCCAAAGCAGGAGCCCTGAGCACCGCAGGCGCCCTCAGACACCGAGAGAAGGTGTGGAACCGTTCTGAGCAGAGCTTCCAGCAGGACCAAACCCGCCGACACGCTGATTTCAGACTTCGGTCTGCAGAGCTGTGAGACGACGCACTCTGCTGTTCTAAGCCCCCCGCGCGTGTGCGGTTACCTGTGCTGCTAAACGAACCCAATCGTGTTCACACAAAAACCTGTCCATGAACACTCACAGGAGCTTTGTTTACATAACCAGACACAGAGAACAACCCAGCTGTCCTTCAGAGAATGAACAGTTCAACAGATTACTGTGTCCACACCAGGAAATACTACTCAGCAATAAAAAGGAACATAATGCTCAGTGCAGAGAGCAATCTGAACGAATGAATTTCCAGTGGAAAAAGCCAGTCCCAAGGGGTCTGATTCTATTTACATGAATTAGTGAAGTGATAAAACCATAAAAGTGGAAGAGAGGTTGGTGGCCAGCAGAGATGAAGGAGGAAGTGGAGAAGGAGGGAAGAGGCGCTCCCACGAAAGGCAGCAGGCGGGCCCTGGCTGCGATGCTCTGCCTCTCGACAGCACGCCTGTCAGTCACCCTGTTGTGAGGTTTGTGCACAGCGTCACTGGGAAGACCATCAAAAGAGTCCCCAGGATCCCACTGAACCCTGTGTCACCACTACATGTGGATTTGCAGTGACTGCATCATAAAAAGTTAATTAAAAACAAAAATTGAAAAATCAATCCACGTGTTATTGTTCAATTTTAAAAGTTTTTTTAAAATACTGATTCTCTTGTATCTCCATCACTACGCAACTTACAATCTCATGGTTAATTATGAAGACAACTGGCAATAACATAGGACAGAAATTAAAGATCTTCCCACTTATGTTCCGAGTTCCCCAGGACAGACCAGACCTGAGGTGACTCATCCCAGCACATGTCTCCAGTGCTGGAGGCAGGGACCTTTCTTTCCTGAGATTGGGATGGTCCAATGATGCCACAGGGCTTGGAAGCCTTAGTAACCGGGTGACGTTCACACTAAGCCCGTTAGAGAGTTTAGTGTTCGGCAAGCAGGCAAGGGGATGGAAGAGGAGGAGAGGGTCCCCATGATTACTGAGGACCAACCTGTTCCGGGGGTGATTTACATGGGTCACCCCCCGCATAAGGTCACCACCAGTGATGACTGAACGCTGGAGAGACCACTGTGGGGAAGGTGCGTGGCTCTCCAGGTTCCACGGCTTCTTGAAATACACCCAGACATGGCCTCTGACCTCAGGGGCCTGAATGGTTGGAAGGTGCCTCTCAGGGAAGAGCTGGGGGCTGGGCCTGGGGTGGGGGGCAGGGGGGTGGAGGCCATGAAGCAGGAAGGAGCCTGGTGCTCAAGGGAGAGGGTGAGAACCGAGGGGACCCTGAGACAAGCAGAGCTGAGGACTGGCTTCTCCCAACCAGACCAGCTGGTCCAGGACACAAGGTTATACTTCAAGCTAAAATGCAGAGACATTACTTTGTCAACAAAGGTCCATCTGGTTAAGGCTATTGTTTTTCCAGTGGTCATGTATGGATGTGAAAATTGGACTGTAAAGAAAGTTGAGTGCCGAAAAATTGATGCTTTTGAACTGTGGTGTTGGAGAAGACTCTTGAGAGTCCGTTGGACTGCAAGGAGATCCAACCAGTCCATGCTAAAGGAGATCAGTCCCGGGTGTTCATTGGAAGGACTGATGCTGAAGCTGAAACTCCAGTACTTTGGCCACCTCATGCGAAGAGTTGACTCATTGGAAAAGCCCCCAATGCTGGGAAAGATTGAGGGTGGGAGGAGAAGGAGACGACAGAGGATGAGATGGTTGGATGGCATCACCAACTTGATGGACATGGTAAACTCCGGGAGTTGGTGATGGTCAGGGAGGCCTGGTGTGCTGCAGTTCATGGAGTTGCAAAGAGTCGGACACGACTGAGCAACTGAACTGAACTGAACTGAGGCAGAGTGTTGAAATGCTACTCATGCCATGAAAATAAAGATGGATAGTTTCATTGTATTTTTTATAATTTTCAAACTCCAGTGGTCTGGAATAACATATGAGACAATTTATTTGACAATATTACAAATTAACCAAAGAATTCCAAAAATATTTACAAAGGTGTCTCTCTGTCTTTAGGGACCCCAGCTGCGATGGCCCACTCCAGATTCAAGAGCCCCATCCGGGTCTTTGCAGGCATCCCGGTCTGGATGTGTGGTCTCTGGGTCTGTGTTCACCAACAGCTGTGATGAGATGCAGTGTCCGTTCCTGCTGGTTATGCACCTCGCCCACCTGCCAACCCGACAGCTTCCCCCTGAAGCTGCAGGCCTGCGGAACAGCCCAGAGCGTTCAGGACACTCGCGGCCTTTAACTCTGAGCCCTTCCTGAGTGCTCAGCCTCCCCATGGGCATCAGACACTCTTGTCAGATGTGATTCACACACACTGGAAAATGATGCGGATCAAAGTCAGTTCTTTACTGGGCCGGAAAATAACCCCTGAACAAGCTCCTCCAGTGACCGCAGCCTCTGGTCAGAAATGAGGCAGCGCCCCAACGAAGCATCCTGTCGCAGAGACTGCCCAGCTGCAGTCCTGCAGGGGGATGTGTGTGTGTGTCCAAGTGTGCATGCCTGTGTGTACATGTGCACATGCATATATTTATGTGTTTACATGTGTGCATGTGTATGCATGTAGGCACGTGCATCTGTGTGTGTGTTTGTGTGTGCATGTATGCATGTGTATATATTCATGTGTGTACATGTATCTATCTGTGTATGTATTCATGTGTGTGCCTGTATTTGTGTGTATATGCATGTGTGTATTTGTGTGTGTGCATGTACTTGTGTGTGCATTTATGTGCACATGTGTTCGTGTGTGTGTGTACATGCCTGTGTATGTATCCATTTGTGTGTGCGTGCGTGTGTACTCATGTATGTGTGTGTATTTATGTGTGTGTATGCCTTGCATGTCTTCATGTGTGTGCATGCATGTCTTTGTGTGTATTCACATGTGTACATGTGTGTATTCATGTGTGTGTATCTGTGCTGTATGCCTGTGCATGTCTTCATGTGTGTTCATGCATGTTTGTGTGTGTGTTCGTGTGTGTACATGTGTGTATTCATGTGTGCCTTGCATGACTTCATGTGTGTGCATGCATGTTTGTGTGTGTTTGTGTGTGTACATGTGTGTGTTCATGTGTGTGTGTGTGTGCTGTATGCCTGTGCATGTCTTCATGTGTGTGCATGCATGTTTGTGTGTGTATTCGTGTGTGTACATGTGTGTATTCGTGTGTTTATCTGTGCTGTATGCCTGTGCATGTCTTCATGTGTGTGCATGCATGTTTGTGTATGTATTCGTGTGTGTTCATGTGTATATCTGTGTGTGCCTTGCATGACTTCATGTGTGTGCATGCATGTTTGTGTGTGTTCGTGTGTGTACATGTGTGTATTCATGTGTGTGTATCTGTGCTGTATGCCTGTGCATGTCTTCATGTGTGTGCATGCATGTTTGTGTATGTATTTGTGTGTGTTCATGTGTGTATCTGTGTGTGCCTTGCATGACTTCATGTGTGTGCATGCGTGTTTGTGTGTGTTCGTGTGTGTACATGTGTGTATTCGTGTGTGTGTATCTGTGCTGTATGCCTGTGCATGTCTTCATGTGTGTGCTGCCGTCACGGTCCTCACCTCTGGGCCCGGCACCCCCACATCTCTCCAGGCCGAGAACCCAGGTGAGACTGACCTGGACGTCCCGAGCTCCGTGTGGCAGACATGGGTGGAGTGCTGGGTCTTGGAGCAGAAGGCCCTGCCAGGGCGGGCTGGTGGCTGGGTCCCTCCTGCCCAGGAGGCCCGAGGCTGGGGGATCATGGTGCTGCTCAGAGTCAAGGTCCAGAGCAGGGGTGGGACAGACCTGACCCTCTTCCCTCCACACGAGGCAGATAATGAGTCATGTTACAGGACGGGAGGGTAAGGCTCAAACAGCAGAGGGGCCACGAAGGCCACGGAGCCGGTGAGCAGCAGGAACACCAGGCAAAGCGGCTCCTTCCCTCCCCTGCGGCCACAGCTCACGCAGAGGGAAGGCTTCTGCACAGGCCTGCGGGGTGACTCCCGGCCAACACAAAAGCGCCAAGGCATCCGAACCCTCTCAACACCTTCTTCATCCCCAGAGACAAGCACTTGAAGGGCTGGTCCTAAACTTTGGGGATGAGAGCTTGGCCTCGTGGCTGAGCCCGAAACCCCATGGAATCCAGGGAAATGAAGCATGTTATGAAGCTGAGCATGGATCTGAGACATACGAATAATCTGCCTGCTTGATTCCTGAGGCGCTTTTCTAGAGGCCCGACGCCCTCCCGTAGGGATTTGCCTGAGTGGCCCCATGCTTGCTGAAGCAGAGTCCCCCTGACGTCCCGTCAGCCTGCAGGAGCCTCCAGAGAGGTTAGGCTTGTCTGACTTGCGAACAAAGGATATTTGGCTCTACAGAGAAGGGACAAGACGTCATCTGACTAAGAAAGATTTTCAGAAGAGAAGATTTTATTTCTTAAGTCATAACAATATGAGGATTTAAAAAAAAAAAAACCTAAGGAATTAGCTCTATTCTTATTTCACCAAGACATTTTTTAAAAATTTTTGACTGAGATGCCCAGTGGTCAGAACCAAGATAGACCTGGTGGTGCTTTCTGCCCATGAATCAATGCCTGCACAGGAGGTCATCAAATCGAGCCCCCTCCAAGCCCAGTTTTCAAGCATCCATTGCACCCTTTCTCAACCAGGCTTCATGAGAGGATGGAGCGCGCACAGCATGATGGGAGCGGCTGTTTCCGGGTCTGCCCGAAGGCACAGGTCAGCCCAACACAGCAGGGATGCAGATCCCCGAGTTGGGTGTCAGGGCTCAGTGCTCTCACCCCGCAGAGAAGGCTGGGGTATTACAGCCTCTGCAGGAATGGCTGTCTGGGGTGCACCCGAGTTCATAAGGAGAACAACACAGATTCTTGCTTCTTGTTTCTAGGTAACAGACCCAGAGACCACGGACCACCCTCTCCTGTCTGCACCAAGGCCGCTAATGCAGTCAAGGGCACAAGAAGGGGGAAGGGCTTACGGAGCGCTGGTTTAAAGGCCTGGATCTTTTGTTCTTGATGCTGAAGCTGAAGCCCCAATCCTTCGGCCACCTGATGCGAAGAGCTGACTCATTAGAAATAAACCTTGATGCTGGGAAAGATTGAGGGCAGGAGGAGACGGGGACGACAGAGGATGAGATGGTTGGATGGCATCACTGGCTCGATGGACACGGGTTTGAGTAAGCTCTGGGAGATGGTGAAGGACAGGGAGGCCTGGCGTGCTGCTGTTGATGGGGTTGCAAAGAGTCGGACACGACTGAGCGACTGAACAATGGTGACAAGGCAGCGGTGGTGTGAGGACCTCTTGGCTGAGTGTCACCACGCACAACCTCGGGCAGAGCATCCATGACAAAGCCAAGCAGAGTGAAATAAACCCTGGTCAGGGCCAGGCTCGGATCACGCCGGAAAGACGCCAACCTCCAGGCAGGGAGTGGACGCAAGGCCAAGTGCCGCCCTGCGTGAGGGCTCACCCCTCCCCGCCAGCCCTGCCCCTCTGACACCCGGGCCAGAGCTCTCCTGTGAGGACCGTCGGGGGTGCCCGTCCATGTCCCTCCCTCCCCGCTCAACTCCACGCTCCAGCAGAACACAGCAGCGACCCGGGAAAACACTTAGGCCTTGAATCCTGCTCTTCACAGCTGGTTCACAGAGTTAGGGTCGTTTACACAGCTCTTAGGGCTGGAACCACGTCTTGTTTGGATAGATCTCGCAGCTCACACAGGGCCAGGGTTTTAATGGGTGCCCGCTGATGGGTCGATCGCTGTCACTAGACCTTCTGAAGATTCATTAGCATGAGAGTCCTTTACCCTAAATCACATCAGAGTTCTTTCCTTTTGCTCACAGAACACATCAGTGTCTCATGGGAGACCCAAAACTTGAGTGTGGGGGCCACTTCCCCGAGTTCTTTTTCCAAGTACCTTATTTTAAAACGTGGTACCTTTTGAATGACAAGTGTGGTTGTCTAGCTGGAATCCTTTCCCATGGGGAAACCCCTCCCTCAAACTAATCCTGCCCCGTGCACTTCATCCAGACGCAGCCCACCCTGGACCACCTTTACCTCCACCCACACCCACATGAGGCTGTCTGCTTGCCCTGCAGGCATGAGACCCAAATCAGGCCACGAACGGCCTCCTTCTGACTTTGGGCAGAACTAAAACGTGAGAAGTCCCTTCTCGTCGCTGAGTGAGGTCTGGCAGCCAGTAGGAACCTCACTGCTTCCAAGGTGGCACTAGTGCTAAGAACCAGCCTGCCAATGCGAGAGACGTAAGAGACATGGGTTTGATCCCTGGGTCAGGAAGGTCCCTTGGAGGAGGGCATGGCAACCCACTCCAGTGTTCTTGCCTGGAGAATCCTATGGACAGAGGAGCCTGGCGGGCTGCAGTCCACGGGGTCGCAGAGAGTCAGACGACTGAAGGGGCTGCAGGCAGGCATGCGGTCGTCACCTCAGTGGCCCCTGGAGAAGCCCATTTCAGGCTGAAGCCCAGCAGGGCCGAGTTGGGGCATGCGAGGGCAGCAGGGCTGTGCCTGAAGCCCATCCCCCCGGCATCTTTCTCGCTTGGCAGGATGGAGAAAGTCAACTGGTGCTCCGCCCTGCGAGTAAGACGCACATCGGAGGTTCCTGGCCAGATGCGTGTCCTGCAGGATGCCAACACCTGGAAGACCAGCAGCTCATGTCAACACCATCCTTCAACAGGCCCCATGAACCAGCATCAACAGGGCAACCGTTTCCAGGGAATAAAATACAGAGGGCATCCTTCCGTAGGGTTTTGACTGAGTTTAACAGGAGGATTTCAGTCACCTTAATTTTTCGAGATAAACTTTAAGGATTCACATAAAGGTCATTCCAGCAGGATTCGTCCTGCCTTTCCCTTGCTGTCACCAGTGTAATCGATTCTGTAACTGACGGAGTCTCACGTGCTAGGAATTTAAACCAGGAAAATGGAAATAGACTGAACTAGGGTCAGGGAGGGCAAAGGGAGGCAGAGGCCCTAGAAACTCTTCCAGGCCCACGGTCTGTGCAGCAGTCAGCCCACTGGGGTCCTGGGGCCCCACCTCGGGTTGTCCCAGCTCTGCTCTTCTTCCCGTCTTAGAATGCTCCGCACCCCTTTCCACGGGGCCCCTGGCATCACAAAGCTGAGACGGCGCTGTGATTGGACACGGAGGATCCAGGCAGCAGGGACATCTCAGGGGCCCGGTGATGGAGGAGCCATACAGGGATGGACCTCTGGGGGCGCAGGCGGTAGGAGGAGACCCCGCTCCAGGGGCTACTCAGACAGCTAAACCCCAAGGCACCCTGCCTGCCCTTCAGCCACCTGAGAGAAGGTTTCCAGGGACAGCACTGCCCTCGGCATCCGTCTGCACGCCCACGCCTCCGCCCCGGAAGCCACTGGTGGTGCTCACAGCGGCCCCTGCGCCGGTGAGGAGACGACCCGCCGTCCTGCTGGACCCACCGTCCCCCCACGCCGCCTTTCCCGACCTCTCTGTGCCTGCTGCTGAGAATCTAACAGTTGCCTGGACAGAAGTAAAAGTAGGGCACTGGGTGAAGAGGTCGCTTGATGGAGAGAGAGGAAGAAGTATTTAGTTGGGGTGGGGAAGGGGGCAGCTCAGAGGCCTCCCTGCTGTGCCCACTCAGCCCCTGCAAAGCCCACAGCTCTGCTCTTTTGCGAGGCACCCCCGTTTCTGTGTTATAAGATTCCAGGTCCTGTTATGTGCTGGATGGCTTATCTTCAGCAGTGACAGCGGCGCATAACAAACCACCCAAACCTTGTGCTCTAAAGACCCTCCACCTATTACTGCTCAACGATCACACATCTGCCAGGAAGTCTGCTGATCTTGGCTGGGCTCAGACGGGCTCTGAGACCCCCGCCTGCTGTCGGGTCTAGCCTGGCCCAGAGGACTCAGCTTCCTCCACACGCCCCTCACCACCCTCCGGCCAGCTGACCTGGCATGTTCTCAGAGCAGGGGCCAGAGGAAAGGGCCATGCTGGCAGGAAGTCACCCCACCTGTGCCTCTGAGGACATCAGGGTGCTCTGTTCCACTGCCAGGCAAGTGAAACAGTGGCCAAGTCAGTGCCAGAGAGGAACGAGACAGTTCAGAGAAGGGAAGGTACAGAGACAAAAAAACAAACCGGAGATGCTCCTGAGTCTTGGCTGACTGCTGCGGCAGATGGGCTATCACTCCTGGCTGGCCTGCCACTCAAGGTGCGGCGCCATGCAAGGTGTGGTCCTGTGTAAGGTGTGGTTCTATGCAAGGTGTGATTCTATGCAAGGTGTGATTCTATGCAAGGTGTGATACTATGCAAGGTGCGGTACTATACAAGGTGCAGTACTGTGTAAGGTGTGATTCTATGCAAGGTGGGATTCTATGCAAGGTGTGAGTCTATGCAAGGTGTGATTCTATGCAAGGTGTGATTCCATGATACTATGCAAGGTGTGATACTATGCAAGGTGCGGTACTATACAAGGTGCAGTACTGTGTAAGGTGTGATTCTATGCAAGGTGTGATTCTATGCAAGGTGTGATACTAAGCAAGGTATGATTCTATGCAAGGTGTGATTCCGTGATACAATGCAAGGTGTGATACTATGCAAGGTGTGGTCCTGTGTAAGGTGTGATACTATGCAAGGTGTGATTCTGTGCAAGGTGTGGTCCTGTGTAAGGTGTGATTCTATGAAACGACGGCATGTGCACACCTGCACCACATACTTGACGGTAACTTGACCACTAAGGGTACACACTCTGGGTTCAGTCAGCTGTATTTAATTCCAAGCTCTACCCCTGGCTAGGTGACAGACTTTGATCAATTTAGTTAATCTTCTCCATTTATATTTCACAGCCCTCATCTGTAAAATAGAGATAAGAATCTACCTGCCCAAAAAGGTTACAGCAAAACAGGTATATTACATGAAACACATTTAACGGCACCTACTCCAGAATAAGTGGTCAGTAAACGTGGAGTACCATCATTACTGTGATTGTGACAATGATGGTGATGGTTGATGATGCTGGTGATGGTGATGGTGGTAGTGATGGTGGTGATGATGCTGGTGATGGTGATGGTGGTGGTGATGGTGATGGTGGTGATGATGCTGGTGATGGTGATGGTGGTGATGGTGATTGTGGTGATGATGCTGGTGATGGCGATGGTGGTGATGGTGATGATGCTGGTGATGGTGGTGATGGTAGTGATGGTGATGGTGGTGATGGTGGTGATGGTGATGATGGTGGTGATGCTGGTAATGCTGGTGATGGTGGTAGTGATGGTGATGGTGATGGTGATGGTGATGGTGGTGATGGTGATGGTGATGGTGGTGATGATGGTGATGGTGATGGTGGTGATGACCCTGGTGATGGTGGTAGTGATGGTGATGGTGATGGTGATGGTGGTGATGATGGTGATGGTGATGGTGATGGTGGTAGTGGTGGTAATGGTGATGGTGGTGATGGTAATGATGATGGTGATGGTGATGGTGGTGATGGTGATGGTGGTGATGGTGATGATGATGGTGATGGTAATGATGGTGATGATGATGGTGATGGTGATGGTGGTGATGATGATGGTGGTGGTAGTGATGGTGATGGTGGTGATGGTGATGATGGTGATGGTGGTGATGGTGATGGTGATGGTAGTGATGGTGATGGTGGTGATGATGGTGATGATGGTGGTGATGGTGATGGTGGTGATGATGGTGATGGTGATGGTGGTGATAGTGATGGTGGTGATGCTGATGGTGATGGTGATGGTGGTGATGGTGGTAGTGATGGTGATGGTGATGATGGTGGTGATGATGGTGATGGTGATGGTGGTGATGGTGATGGTGGTGATGGTGATGGTGGTGATGGTGGTGATGATGGTGATGGTGATGATGGTGATGATGATGGTGGCAGTGATGGTGGTGATGGTGGTGATGATGTTGATGGTGATGGTGGTGATAGTGATGGTGGTGATGGTGATGGTGATGGTGATGGTGGTGATGGTGATGGTGGTGATGGTGGTGATGGTAATGGTGATGATGGTGATGGTGACGATGGTGATGGTGATGGTGGTGATGATGGTGATGGTGATGGTGGTGATGGTGGTAGTGATGGTGATGGTGGTGATGCTGGTGATGGTGGTGATGACCCTGGTGATGGTGGTAGTGATGGTGATGATGGCAGTGGTCATGGTGGTGGTGATGAAAAGGGTCATGATGGTGACAGTAATGATGATGATGATGTTATCATGTGGTTCCCCCAACCACCTCCCTCTCCTTTTATAAGTTCTCTTTCTTATAGTTTCAGTTCTTATAATGTTGGTATGACTTTTCTAAATGGAAATGTATATGCACACTGTTTTTTCTCAGTGGGACTGAAATACGTCTAATTAATGGGCAAAGGAATCACAAATGCTCATCATTGCATCCAATGAAAAAGATATTAAAAGTTAAAACTATCAATTCTGCAGAGCAGTTCACCCAGCAATCCCAAATTAAAGATATGGGGCTTGTAAGATAGGAAATGACAGGCTTTTTTTGTCTCGAACATAGTGAATTATTATTAGTGATAATCATATATGGATTTGAAGTATCTAAAATGAAAATATAAATCATATTACCCATGATCACAAACAACAGGGAACATCTGTGCTTCATTTTACACAGTTGCTTTCCTTTAATTTAACAGGCAGCCTGTTTGTGTCTCAACACCCAGCTTGACAAAAGACACACGTGAAGAACTTCACACTTTTGCCAGCCTTCTATTCGTCACGGTTTACGTTCTACGTGACGTTTAAAGGACTAGTGCCGTACTTCATTACTTCTGTCCACTGCAGTTTATCCTGGAAAGCCGTCTTCAGGGAGGTAAATCACCCGGGGTGCTTTCTGAATTGGGCGGGCTACACCCGGTCAGTTAAAATGCGCATCTCTGACGACATGCGCCTCGTGGCTGCAGCAGCACCTGGACGCTTCCTTCTGGGGGCAGGGGCGTCTGCCTGGCTCAGGAAGATGTGGAATTGGGTGTTGGCATCTCCTGGACTCAGCATCCATTCAGCAAACATCCCAGCCGGGAACCCAGGAGCCGCGTCCCCGGTAGTGGTTGGAAGGAGATGGAATAACACCCGCCCCCTCCCTCCGCTGCTGGAGGCCTGTCCAGAGAGGACAGGCAGGGTCTGCATCAGAGGGGGCAGCCTGGTCCACAGAAGCACTTGCATCTGGACCCCATCAGCCCCTCCAGGGCAGTGATGCCCCCTGACTTACATCACCAGCCGTCCCAACACCTTGTCAGCAGGACACCAGGTGGCCCCAGGACTGGAAGGTCTGTGCTTCAAGCTCAGAACGGAGCGGCTACATTGCCAGGAGAGCACTCTGTTTCCTCACTAACCTCCTACATTTATTTCTCAAAGGAGTAAGCAGAGGCATCTTCTAAAACAGCAAACCAGACCCAGAGCCGTTCATCGTCCAGGGGGATCCCAGCAAGAGGTGACCAGCATAGCCCAAAGGGGGCTAATTGAGATTATCAGAGGCGCCGCTGTATCAGTGCGGGAAGGTCCAAGGGGACAGGACAGAATGAGGATGCACCCGGGCTGCTGACAGTGGTCCTTGGCCCTGGGAACGAGGGGAGGGCTGCTGCCAGGGAGACTGCGGGCGGACCCTGTGCCCCCCGTGCCCTCTCCCCGCTGGGCGCCCCATCACTGGAGGTCAAGGACGGGGCCAGGGGTGCAGAGCTCCCAGGCCGCCGCTGCGCAGAGCAGCATGAGGGGCACACAGTAGGGCAGCGTGGAGAGGAGCCCTCTACCCACGGATAAATTCTGGATTCTCAAGACTTTCGGAGTCTCTGCCCCTTGCCCGTACGAGGCTGAGTAGGGGAGGCGCACACAGTGGTGGAGGCGGTACCTCAGCCTCGAGGGGCCGAGGGGAGGGACACCTGTGACAGCCAGGCCAGCCAGGCCCTCCGGATGGAGCGTGCAGACCCCGGGGCCCAGTCCATTGCCCCCAGGCCAGCCTGGCCACACCGGGCGGAGTGTGCAGACCCCGGGGCCCAGTCCATCGCTCCCAGGCCAGCCTGGCCGCCCCGGGGGCTCTGTAGCTTCCTCGCCTCTGGGATGGGCATGGTCAGGGTGTTCCTCCCACGAGTACCAGTGTGCGGAGGGGGTGTTGTCAGGTTAAAGGCAAGCACTCCCCCTGAAAGCTGCAACCCAGGTGCTGTCGGGGTCCTCCCAGGGACCATAGGTGCGGGACGGCTCTGGGGCAGCTGCTCCGAGGGGCAGAGGGAGAGGCCTGTCCACACGGACCGCGGCTGGGGACACGCGCAGGCAAGCACACGGCTCGGTGACAGAGCCCTGCTGGTCCCAGAGCAGACCCCCCAAGTGGTGATGTTTGTTCTTTACTGTGAAGGGGGGACCCAAGAGCTAACGTCCTCCCTGAGATGGACACCTGACTCCCAGGGGGCCTGCTGACTAGAGCACGGGGCCCTGTCCTGGTTTCACCCCAAATTCCTCTCACCGGTGACCACAGTGCTGATGGCTAGGTCTCCGCTGAGCTGGGGGCTCCGAAGGCCCCTCTGTTCTCTGTTTACAGCGGGGTTTTTTCGGGGTGGGGAAGCTATCACACAGGGAAATAGGAACATCAGGTTGTTGATCATTCTCCTCAAACATCCCCAGGCCCCTCTCCAGGGAGCTGCCCTGGACACTGATTTGCTAAAACATGTAAATGAGTTGAAAGGGGAGCTGGTGGTTACTGGGCCTGATCAGACCCAGGGCTTCCGTATCCTGCATTCTCCTAATCACCGCTCTCAGGGGACGTTCTTGCTTTTCCTTTCAGGGAAGAAAATCAGGCATAAATGCTGCCCAGGACAGCGGTCGGTAGGGGACGAAGGGGGCAGGGGTCCTGCATTTGCGAGACCACGCAGCCACCCCCAGGAAGGACAAACCAGCAGAGGGTCAAGTCGGTGCAGAGGGCGGAAGTCATCCCAGGCGGCTTTCCTCTTTCCCTAAAGAGCCTCTGGGCACTAAGCTTCCCGTGCCCCCGCTTCCGCCGCCAGCTTCCTGGGGCTGCGTCTTCTCCACGTGGGCAAAGGGGCCAGCGAGATTCACGTCCCAGAGGAGGAAGGGGATGGAGACAGGACAGAGGAGGCTGTGGCACCCCTGACGGGCACGCCTGGCAATCCCATACAGGTTTAGAGAAAAGCACGCTGTTCCAAGGCCTTCTGATATTAACCCAAACGCTTCTACCAGTTAACACGGGCACAACTGCATCCCGCGACAAGCAGGCCATTTGTCACTGTGGGGATCCTTTTTCTTCGGGACACAAAAAGCAATTTTTAAAAGTAATAAAGTACTAAAGGGGGATTGTCAGGTCAGAAATAAGGCTTTTTCTTTTTTTAATGTTTTATGTCTCTATTTTTCTAATGCCTTAGAGTGCTAAGTGAATCCTCATAACGACCACTTGTTTGTCGACGTTTCTTCTTTGCTCTTGGGGGCGAAGGCCCGGGTCCCTGCAGGCTCTTCCAATGCCCACGGCTCAGACGGCGCCATCACTGGGGGGCCACACCCCACCCTGTACATCCAGCGCTTCCGGGGCGGACGGGCGCCTGCGGCCCCAGACCCAGCCCTTCCGCAGCTCACTCAGCGGTGCCCCCAGACCGTCTTCAGGACGCGGTGTCCTGTCTATCAGGCCCACACGGCCCCATATCTGGAAAACAGGCAAATAAAAAGGCAGGCGTGGCCCACAGCACAGCATCTGCGCCCCAGGAGTCAGCGTCAGCCCGCGGGGAGCTCCGGGCTCAGCCCGGCAAACATCCCACTCGCTTCCCCCCAGCCCACCCACCAGACCCCACCCCTAAACCCCCTGCACGGCCCCTTCTCAGCAGCCGAACCACTGCACAATCTGCCAGAACTCAGGCAGGCGAAATGTGCAGATGTCGGGTCTGAGTCCCCAGGGGTCAGCGTCCCCCAGAGGCCCCACAGCGGGCCCAGGAGGCCCTTCGGATCTCAGGGGCTGGGGCAGGCCTGGCCACATCGGCCCTGGTGGGGAGGCGGGCACGGCAGCTGAGAGCTGGGGTGCGGGCAGGTGACCCCGAGGCCATGGAGTCCACCCTGAGAACAGAGGATGGGAAGGGGCAGACTCACCTGGGGGTCCCTGTGGTCGGTGGCCCTGGGCAAGCTTTCCATCTGGCATCATTTGACTCATCCTAATCTGGGGGTGGGGGTGAGCCTTGTTGCCCCCACTTGACAGGCGGGAAAACTGAATGACCTGCCTGAGGTCACAGGTGGTCAACAAGCAAGGAGAGCCGAGGCCTGAACTCACCCCAGCCCCCTGCATGCCCCCACTTGGGTTTAATCCAGCTAAACCACCACCAATGGGGCACACGGGTGACGTCAGCCCCCGCCCGGGAATCTCCTTGATCGCCAGGGACTCCTGCGTGAACTGTGGGTGCTGACTGCAATTCTAGGGGTCTCTAGGAAAACACCCTGATTGGGCCCTGCCCCCACAGGTCCAGAGCAAAACCAGGGCTTTCAGGCAGGAGCTCCCTGACCACAGGCACCCCGATGCCCCATGACTGAAGGGACATGGCAGGACCCCCGGCTAAGGGTCAGGAGATGGGCTGGCCACCCTGGGTCGCATCTGCACTGTGCCAGACCGTGCCTGGTCCTCAGGAACCTCAGCAGTGCAGATGTCAGGTCAAAGCCGGGCAGTCGTCTGTCCCATGATGAAACTCAATTACAGATTTAATCCTTCCACGCAATAAATATATGTGCACACTCAGTCATTTTGGTCGTGTCCAACTCTGCAGCCCCATCGACCACAGCCCACCAGGCTCCTCTGTCTGGCAAGAGGCAAGAATACAGGAAGGGGTTGCCATGCCCTCCCCTGGGGATCTTCCCGACCCAAGGATCAAACCCATGTGTCTCCTGCATCTTCCGCATTACAGGCAGATTCTTTACCTCTGAGCCACCAGGGGACCTAATGAATATATGTAGTTCCACCCGACTTACTGCGCCATTTCATGGACTCGGGGGCAGGATGCAGAGAGCTGGTCCAACCACTCAAGACCATGGGGCTGCTTACCATTAGAAGCAGAAACGTCTGAAGTGTCAGTCATCCCAGGCGGTCTCGGGGGGCCTGTCGCTGGCTGCATGTCTGTGTCCCTCCTCATGCACAGGCTGAAGCCCCAACCCTCGGTGTTGTGGTACTGGGGGCCCTTTGGGGGGTGATCAGGGTTAGATGGGGTCACGAGGGAAGCTCCCTGTGATGGGGTTGGTGGCCTGGATGGAAGAGAGAGAGCCTGGAGCTTCATCCACGCCCGCATGAGCACATGGCCGGGAGGCTTCCGTCTGTGAGCCAGGAACTCCTGCCCAGAGACCACAGCTGCACCTCCCTCCCTGACCACCCCCTTCAAGGCTGTGAGAAATCACCGTGTGCTGGGGAAGCCCCAGTCTGCGGCGTTTCTGTTACAGCTGCCAAGTCCCTAGGATGAGGCCCAACCTCGCTCTCCCCCTGGATTCTCGCTGTAACGCCTCCACTGGGGCCCGTCCCCCCCGCCAGGCCCACCCTCTAGGACCCGGCCACCCCCGACTCTGCTGCCCCAGCCCCGGCCTCACCCACCTGGACAGGCCCTTCACTCACCACCACCACACAGGACAGATCACTCACCTGAAACTGCTTCTGCGATTCAGCACATCCTTTAAAAGCTAATCCTATTCATTTGCTTTCTAGTTTCAAGGAAGGGAGAGGGCAGATTTTATTTTCTTGGGCTCCAAAATCACTGCAGATGGTGACTACAACCTGGAAATTAAGACACTTGCTCCTTGGAAGAAAAGCTAAGACAAACCTAGACAGAGTATTAAGAAAAAGCAGAGACATCACATTGCCGACAGAAGTCCATGTAGTCAAACTATTGTTTTCCCAGGAGTCATGTGTGGATGTGAAAGTTGGACAATAAAGAAAACTGAGGACCAAAGAATTGATGCTTTTGAACTGTGGTGTTGGAGAAGACTCTTAAGAGTCCCTTGGACTGCAAGGAGATCCAACCAGTCCCTCCTAAAGGAGATCAGTCCTGGGTGTTCATTGGAAGGACTGATGTTGAAGCTGAAACTCCAATACTTTGGCCACCTGATGTGAGGAGCCAACTCACTGGAAAAGCACCTTGACTCTGGGAAAGACTGAGGGCGGGGGGAGAAGAGGGCGGCAGAGGATGAGCGGGTTGGATGGCAGCACGGACTCAACGGACATGAACTTGAGCAAACTCCAAGAGTCAGTGCAGGACAGGGAAGCCTGGTGCGCTGCAGTCCGCGGGGTAGCAGAGTTAGACACAGCTGAGCAGCTGACCAACACAGCAACAAACCAGGAGTCGGGGGGAGCGTCTGCGTCTCAGGACAGCGCTTCCTCCCTCCCGCTGTCTCCCTCACGGTCCTTCTCCGTGTTGCTCCGTCATTCTGTCCGTCATCACATCTCCCTGCCTCCTTCTCATTTGGCTATTGAAAAGCTGAGAGCAAAATTTAGCATCCAGTGTTAGCAACTTTTTCCAATCCTGAAAGATATTTTTATTCCTCCTTCTCATGATTATTAATTTGTTATGTATTATTATCTATTGATCCTTATTATTATGGTCATTATTTCACATATGATCTAATGTTGTAAGCTACCCTGAAACCTTTTGGAGTAAGGCAAACATAAAGAAATAATAGATCCATATTGAATGTAAGAGAACCCCTGAAAGTATTTAGAAATAGAAAGGCAAAGTCGTGATATGAAGGCCTCATGATTTTTACTCTTAAAAGCTTTTCAGATATTGCTGGTAAACTGAGGACTCCACTCACATGGGTCCTTGGTCTTTCTCTATCAAGGAATCCTATGACCTTCTTGCAACTGAAGGTTTTGAAACACCAGCTCATAAAAGTTGATGGAAGGCACTATTATTTGATGACGGTAAGTACAGCTCAAGTGTAATGGGATTTTAATCCTACAGGGAGGCTTCGGGGCTGGCAGAAACCACACGCCTCTCTCACTTCCCGGGCTGCTGTGTGCACTGCCCCGCAGGACTCGGAGCTGGAACACCGGGTTATTGACTGAGGACCCTCTGATGAACTCTAGACAGTCTGCATCCACAGCAGAGCAAGGCCGCTGCAAAATCGATCCGAAACCTGGGCGCCAAGGAAACACTGCTGCAGGGAGCGGGCTTTAGTTTGTGTTTTTAACTATGGCTTAACTCAGAGGGGAAACTAGATTACTATGAACACTTTCGCAAAGGAAAAAGCGAAGTCGAGTCGATGCAAATAACAGATGACCCTATGGAAAGAGGCCCAAAGCATCGCCTGCCTCCTGAGCATCTGGGCGCAGGGGCGAGGCCCTCACCCCGCAGGGCGACCCCAGAGGGGCCAGGGCAGGCGGGCTGGCAGCAAACCAGAGAGGCGCTTCCTGCTCAGACCACGCAGACAGCAGCGGCCCTACCGGGGCCAAGGGCACACCCTCAGAGACCAAGCGCCCGGCCCTTTCATCTCTGTGCGTTAACACCAGGGTCTCGCCCACACCACGGCTCAGAGGGGAGGGCCACCTTTCCCCAGAAGCACAGAGGAGCCAGCAACCAGAAGAAACCGCACTCACGTGAAAACACTTGGGAGCTCTCAGAGACAGGCCCAGCATCGGTGGTTTCTCTGTGCCTGTGGACTTCACAGTCCTGGGGCTGCTGCAGCCAATGTGTCCAGTAACTGGGGACACCGTGTGCACCATGGTGTGTGTGCAAACTCGGCCACAGCGCTTCCATCACGAGATGGCTGACAGTCCTGACACTTCAGGAGTGGTCCCTTGTTTTAGCACAGGTCACCCCAAAGCCACAGATAATTGACAAATCATGCACTATGCAAATCAACGGCTAGTGCCGAGCAATTAAAACCAGAGTCACAGCTAACCTGCAGTTCATTGAAATTTTATTTTTCATGCAGTGCAAAACAGCAAAAGCCTCGTGCTGAACAGAGACACAAAGACCAGTGAAATTCTCCTCGTTGCTCTAAATAGACAGACCATTTTGGGGTGGCGAAGCACACTTGCCAGTCAATGCCTCGTGCTGATGAAACGGAGTCATTTCCTTTCCTGTCTCCTGCCTGAAATAAATGCCAATAGAGGGGGAAAGACTGGGGCGGGGGGCGGGGAGGGAGGATCGGAAGTGAGGGGGAGGCCACGCGGCTGAATGTCTGGGTGGAGAAGCGAGACGGGAAGCGTAGCAGACACGCTTCGCAGCAGCTGCTGGCCTCGCAGACAAAGGAGCCGCCGGAGGGGATAGGGCAAGCCCCCCAAAGCCGGCCCTGCGCCCCACCCCTCCTGGCCACAGGGCGGGTCTCACACCGCCTTGGCAAACCCACCAGCAAAGACCATGACTCCGGCAGTGCGTCCTGGGCCAGACCCACACGGGTGTGACCGCACGCCCGGGCCACTTCACGGCCAGAAGGGAAGAGTCACGGGACCATGGGCGCCCCCAGCCCCCGGGAGCGCTGCTTCCTCCAGCCGGCGGCTCCTAAACCCTGAGCTCTTCATGGCTCCTCCTACCTGCGCTGGGAATGCGGCACCGGCTCAGCCTCACAGCTCACACGGGCTGCCGAGGACACGGGGCCGCAATGTCATCGCCTGCCGGGGACGGGGAGCCAGATGGCCTCTGCGACAGGCCCGGAGCGTGAGGCCAGCCAGCACCGAAGGATAAACCTGCGCGAGCAGCAGGCCGCTGCTTTGGACCGAGGCCGCTTCTCCAGGCCCAGGGGGAACAAAGGCTGTTGCCCGGAGCCGCACAGATGACGCCTGGGTGCTTCAGAGGACAGGGGCTTGTGGGGAGCCGGCGACCTCGCTGACAGAGGCGGGCGGCTCCCCGCCGCCATCTGCCACAGCCTTCTCGCTGTCCCCGGCTCCAGTCCCTTTAGACTGGAGGGCGGACTCCGGGGGCCTCCCAGGTTGGAGCCCCTCACCACCCAGAGCCAGATGTGGGGGGGCGGAGCAAAATCAGGGGAACCCCCCCGCAGGGGTCTTACAGTGCCTCCAAGGGGTCAACCTCACCCCATCCCCAGCCCAGAGCTTTTTCTCTTTCCACTTTCCTTAAAGCTCGGTTGCCCAGTCGTGTCTGACTCTGCGACCCCGTGGACTGACTCTGCCAGGCTCCTCTGTCCGCGGGGACTCTCCAGGCAAGAACACTGCGGTGGGCTGCCATGCCCTCCTCCGGGGGGTCTTCCTGACCCGGGGATCGAACCCGCGTCTCTTGTCTCCTGCCTCGGCAGACAAGTTCTTTACCACCAGCGCCACCTGGGAAGCCCTTTCTAAAAGGACCACATGTCATTTCTAAATAAGAAGCTGTTTCAGCTCAGGGCACAAGCTGCCCTCCCCAGGCAGGACTGGCTCCCGGGACCACTCATCCCAGGACCCCCGCACACGGGGTTAACTGCCTGATCTCTGTGCATGCTCAGCACCCCAGACCTCCCCCAGCAGAGCCCCCCAAATGATAAGAAGCCCCGCCCGCCAAGGGCATCAGGATGTAGCCCCAAGCTTGTTCCGGGAATGCCTGGCCCCCCAGGGAAGCTGACAGGCCGAGGCTCAGTGCCAAGGAGACGGTGACCTCCACGGCAACCACTTGGGGGTGCAGGAGATGCACCCTAAAGGGACCCAAACCTGTGTCAGAGGCTCTTCCGGAAACCTCTTCCCTCTGGGGGCCCGCCCTGACTTTCCGAAGCGGAGTGTAATGACGCACTCAGGTGACCTCTGTGACCCAAGGCTGACCTGCCTCTCTGCCCCCGGGGCCACCCTCCTCTCCTCCGTGAACCCGGAGATCACGCCCGCCCGCAGCAAGGTGCTTCCGGCTAGAGCCCAAAGCGGAAGAGAGGTGAGGCGCCGGCACCCGAGGACTCATCGCTCTATCTCCCACCTGCTGCCCCTTACCCCCCAGAGACCCCCCGACACACACCCAGGACAGAGGGGGCTGAGCACATGGCCGGGCCTCTATCAGAGACCCCCGACACAAACCCGGGGACAGAGGGGGCTGAGCACATGGCCGGGCCTCTATCAGAGACCCCCGACACAAACCCGGGGGCTGGGCACACGGCGGGGCATCTATCAGAGATCCCCCAACACACACCCAGGGACAGGGGGCTGAGCACACGGCGGGGCGTCTATCAGAGACCCCCCAACACACACCCAGGAACTGGGGGGCTGGGCACACGGCGGGGCATCTATCAGAGATCCCCCAACACACACCCAGGGACAGGGGACTGAGCACACGGCGGGGCGTCTATCAGAGACCCCCCAACACACACCCAGGGACGAGGGGCTGAGCACACGGCGGGGCGTCTATCAGAGACCCCCCAACACACACCGGGGACGGGGGACTGAGCACTCGGCGGGGCGTCTATCAGAGACCCCTCGACACACACCGGGGACGGGGGGCTGAGCACTCGGCGGGGCATTTATCAGAGACCCCCCAACACACAGCCGGGGACGAGGGGACTGAGCACACGGCGGGGCATCTATCAGAGACCCCCCAACACACACCCGGGGACGAGGGGCTGAGCACACGGCGGGGCGTCTATCAGAGACCCCCGACACACACCGGGGACGGGGGGCTCTGTCCTGAGCCACGAGGTCTCGAGTCCTTGTGCTTTGGCCGTCCCCCACCCCCCTCCCCGTCAGGCTGTCAGAAGCCCTTTCTCAGCAGAGGGAGCGACCCTCTGGCATCAAGCCCGCGCCCCCTCAGCGCTTCTGGGCTCCTGACAGCCGCGGGCGGGCCAGAGCATCCGCGGGATCAGGCCGGCCCCCGAAGCGCTGGCCCATGAGGCCGACGAGGAAGGACTCACCTCATGTCTCGTGTGGACCTCAGGTCTCAGCTCAGGGCCAGGAAGCGGGCGTGGTAATTTCTCCCCCCTTTCCTCACGTGCCCCTGGGTATCCCTCTTTGCCTCAGGTTTGGAGATGTAAACCCTCCATGGGGGTGTTTTTCTTTGCTTTTTTTTCTCATTCACAAAATCTACATATCTGAACAACTGAGACTTATTTATCAAGTGCAATGTGTTACGCATGCAGCCATGTTGTAAAGATGTGGGTTTTTTTAAAGAAATAAAGAATTTCTTTTATTTTTAAAGAAAAGATTATTCCCTTTGAGGGGATAGAAGGGCCCAGGGTGTATACAGAAAGAGAATTTATTTTTTACTCTATGACTACACAATTGATGCTTCAGTTTTGAGCTTGAATTAACCTTTTCTTTTCAAAAAAAGTAATTTAACTGTCCATTGCTAGTTGTTACCACACATGCTCCGAAATATTTGCCAAAATATACATGAAAAAAGAAAGACATTCACTGCAACATTCTTTGAAATAGGAAAACACTAAAACCACTGAGGCGTCCATAAACACAGGACGGAGCTGGGCAGAGGCGGACGTCTGCAGCCGTGAAGAGCAGAGGGGGTGTCGTCAGCGCGGGAAGGTCCCAGGAACAAAGGCCAGTGAGGCGATGACAGTGCTGCACATTATGCTTTTTCACTTGAACATTTTTACAATAAGTAACAGTTCCCTCTGGGAAAGGATCATAGGAATTCAGTAGATGCCTTTGGTGAGATGGAGCAGGGGGGGATGGATTTTATTTTTCCTTCTGTGTTTCCTGAACTAGGAGAATCTTCTCCCATTGTACCTGTGTTCTGGGAGGAAAACGGACGTGTTCTCCACCTCAGACATGCCCACCAATGTCCCTGGTTGGACGCGGTGCAGAGTCAGCGTGGGATTTCCGGTCAAGAGGTCAGGTTCCCCCAAGGGCCCGCAAGCCCCCTTCTCAGGACCCCAGCTCTGACCCGGAAGGCCCTGCACCCCGACCTCACATGGGCTCAAGAGCAGTTCCTGGAGGGGAGGGCGGACCCTGGGGTCACACAATCTCCGCTTTTCTCCCAAACCACCCAGGGGAAGCTCTCAAGACAGAGCAGAAATGGAAGGAGAGAAAGCCACTCACCTAGGAGACAGCTGGTAAACAAACACACTTTAATTTTTGAATGTCTAAGTGGAGACATTCAGAGATTTCCTCTGTTCTCCTCTTTGACATCGTCAATATTTAAAATAAAACAGACAAGTATGGTTTTTAAAGATAAAAAAACAAACGTTTAGAAAAATCCACAATTATCAACTTAATCAAAAAGATGAAGTTTGAAAATGAAACATGTTCCAGCAACTGGGTGTGAAGGCTTCATGGAAAGGAGGATCTGGGCTGAGCAAGGTTGAGGAACAAGAGTGATCTAGAAAGATAGGCGGAAGGAGGAGCGTTGGGGGGAGGGGGTGACGACATGAGGCAGATTCTGGGAACAATAGGTTTCTGATCCTAATACCACGTAGTGAGGTGCAGTGTCACCAGCAGGAAGCCGTCGCCAGGAGCTCCACAGAGCTCTCCAGCTTCACCAGTTGGGGGACTGTGGTGTCTTTTTTCACTTGGCGTAGTTCCCCTGAGATTCATCCAGGCTTTTGCAAGAAAGCTTAGTCTGTCCCTTTCCACTGCTGAGTAGTATCCATGGCATGGATAGCCATTCACCCACAGCTAGGTTTCTCTAGTCTCCCATTATTACAAATGAGGTTGCTATGAACATTCATGTACAGATTTGTGCATGAACATCAGTTTTTGTTTTTCTGGGATAAATGCTCAGGAGTGCAGTTGCTGCATCATAAGGTAGTTGCATGTTTAGTTTTTTATTAATAACTAAACAGTTTCCCAGAGACGCTGAACCATTTACATCCCACTAGGATAGGCCAAAGCCTTTGACTGTGTGGATCACAATAAACTGTGGAAAATTCTGAAAGAGATGGGAATACCAGACCACCTGACCTGCCTCCTGAGAAATCTGTATGCAGGTCAGGAAGCAACAGTTAGAACTGGACATGGAACAGCAGACTGGTTCCAAACAGGAATAGGAGTACGTCAAGGCTGTATTTTGTCACCCTGCTTATTTAACTTATATGCAGAGTACCTCAGATATGCAGATGACACCACCCTTATGGCAGAAAGTGAAGAGGAACTAAAAAGCCTCTTGATGAAATTGAAAGAGGAGAGTGAAAAAGTTGGCTTAAAGCTCAACATTCATAAAATTAAGATCATGGCATCTGGTCCCATCACTTCATGGGAAATAGATGGGGAGACAGTGGAAACAGTGGTAGGCTATTTTTCTGGGCTCCAAAATCACTGCAGATGGTGACTGCAGCCATGAAATTAAAAGATGCTTACTCCTTGGAAGGAAAGTTATGACCAACCTAGATAGCATATTAAAAAGCAGAGACATTACTTTGTCAACAAAGGTCCATCTAGTCAAGGCTATGGTTTTTCCAGTGGTCATGTATGGATGTGAGAGTTGGACTGTGAAGAAAGCTGAGTGACGAAGAATTGATGCTTCTGAACTGTGGTGTTGGAGAAGACTCTTGAGAGTCCCTTGGACTGCAAGGAGATCCAACCAGTCCATCCTAAAGGAGATCAGTCCTGGGTGTTCATTGGAAGGACTGATGCTGAAGCTGAAACTCCAGTACTTTGGCCACCTCATGTGAAGAGTTGACTCATTTGAAAAGACCCTGATGCTGGGAGGGATTGGGGGCAGGAGGAGAAGGGGACGACAGAGGATGAGATGGTTGGATGGCATCAGTGATTCAATGGACATGAGTCTGAATAAACTCTGGGAGTTGATGATGGACAGGGAGGCCTGGCGTGCTGCGATCCATGGGGTCGCAAAGAGTCGGACACGACTGAGTGACTGAACTGAACTGAACTGAGGACACGGGCCTGAGCTTCTCCACCACCTTGCCAGCAGTGGGTGTTGTCAGCCTTTTATTTTACGTTGTGATAGGTGTGCCTTGAAAGCTCACCACATGCGGTCTGATCTGCTTTCCTCAATGGAGAACGACCTTCTACGTTCTTCATGACCTTATTTGCCATCTGATTAGCCTCTTTGGTGAAATGACTGTTCCTGTCTTCGGCCCATTTTCTAGGTGGATCGGTGTGGGTAGTTCTTCTTCAAGGTGGATTGGTGGTGGGGGTGGTTCTTCAAACTGATGCTTATGCACTCCAGATGCAAGTCCTTTTCAGTCACGCAGGTTGCAAATATTTCTCCCAGTCTGTCATTTTTCTTCTCCAAACAGGAAAATTTTAAATTTTGATGAAGTCCAATTTATCCATTTTTTTCTTTATGGGTCATGCTTTTGGTGTCAAGTTTAAAACCAGTGTTGGGTCCTGAATTTTCTGGTTTTGTCTAAAAATTTTATAGTTGTGTGTTTTACATTTAAGTCAGTGATCCATTTTGAGTTAGTTTTTCTAATGCATGAGGTTTTGATCAGATTTCTTTTTTAAAACATATAGATGTCCAATTGCTCAAGAACTGTTTGCTAAAACAGCAATGCTTTCTGCATTAAATTGCTTCTGTACCTTTGTCAAAAATCTGTCGCCACCAAAAATGGCAGAGGAGAGAAATACCAAACACTCTCTCTCCATTAAGGCAATGATTAAACTGGCAAAAACAGGTTGACTTCTGGAAACTCTGGGAATCTAATAAAAAATGTACAGCACCCAGGGGAAGCGTCTTTCTTAATGAAGAAGGAAGTTGCTGAATTTCAGGAAAAGTGTTTTGATATTCTAACTGACCTGCTTCCATGTCCTGCTGCCCCCAGCTCAGTGAGGAGCCCCCAGGGGCAGCATGGCCCTCCTGCTGAAGAGGCAGCGCCTGGGTTTCCCGCCCTTGTGGCCCCGAAGGACTGACTCAGGGCCAGCCTTTGTTCCACTGCCTGCGACCCCTCCCAGGGATGACCCAGCGCCCAGGAGATATTTGCCCAAAGTATTTAAAGCCACATGTGGTATCTGAAGCCACCTGGAGCAAGGCGTGCCTGACCTGGAGAGCAACAGACATGCTAGAATGCCAGGAAGGAAGGGAGGAGACCCTTAGGAGAACAGGGCTTTGAAAAGCGCCTTCACGCCCCAGGGATTCTCGAGGTCCACAGACACGTGCAGGGCTGGACACGTGAGGGGACCATCAGCTTCACCTCTGCCTGAGGCTCAGGCTCCCTGAGAAGAGGAGGTGATTATGGCCGCGCTGTGAACAGCCTCGCTAAGCACTAAAGGAGTACGCCAACACACAGCCAGTCTGCAAACACCCGGAGAGATTTGGTTGGTTGGCTTCTTTGATTTTAGCTCCAGGCATTTAAGAAAATCTCTGCCAAATCATCCATCGACCACGAATGTCATGGAGCATAGACAGCAGTGACCATACATGACAAAGAACACAGTCCTCACAAAAAATATTTAGGAAAAAAATCACTTTAAAAAATCCAAACAAGAGCAACAAGAAAACCTTGGTTGAGGGACAGGGGTAATTTCCACAGTTGCCATGCTATTATGTATTAAATGGCCAGTTTTCAAATGATTATGGCAAGAAAAAGAAATAAAAGGCATACAGACTGGAAAGGAAGAAATAATATCAATGACATGATTGTCTACAGAGAAAAATCTCAAGGAAGCACTCTTCCAGCTTGAGCCAAAGGATTAGGTGTCTCTCTGTGTAGAGGAGCAAGCCATGTGTCCAAATAAGTCATATTTACACTTTAGTAAATACCATCACGTGGGTTACTGTGAATCTCTAATATTGCATCTTCAAGTTACTTCCACCATATTTACCTAAAATGACAAAATTATAATATATAATGTCTTACTTGTGCACTTTAAAAATCTAAATATGTTTCTTTATTTTGAAAACCTCACACAATAGAAAGAAAAACTGAACATAAACAAATATCCTATGTCCAAGGGTTAAAAGTACAATTATTTCCTCAGGGTTAATTGGGCCTTCTAATTACCAATTACAACATGTATGATCACATATTAATCTTTTCTTAAACCTCAGGGCTTTCCTGGTTATTCTCGTTGCCACGGCTCCTGCCCTAACATTCTCTGCCATTTCACGTAGTCAGGCTTTAATCAACTCTAGTTTTTCTCCTTGTCACAGGATGTTGAACAGAAATTGCTTGTGTCTTGAATTTTGGATTTACTGAAAGGCAGAACGGGTCCAGCTGCTGTCACTCCATTATCTGAACCAAACCACACGGAGAGAAAAGAGAAACTCGAAAGGAACCCTGAGCAGTGGGAGTATGTTGGAACCTCAGGAAGAGCCCAGGCGGGCAGAGGGTCCTTCGGAAGGACCGCAAGGCTTTCCCCTCGTCTTTCTCCAAAGTGGCGGGTCCCCCATCTCCTGCAAGGCGAGCAAGGAGGGCTCCTGCAGGAGCTGGGGCACCCGCAGGAGGGGCGGCTGCCCCCCACTCCCTGCTGGATGTCAGCCGAACCCAGCCTGGCCGCCGGCACAGCACAGAGGGGAGGGTCCACCCGGCACGGCTGTGTTCCCGCAGGGCAGGGACAGCGAGACGAAGGCCAGGGCGTCTGCTCCAGTCCTGGAAATCCTGACTGTGCGAGGAGGCTGGAGCACCCCGACCCCTCCCCGACTCCCGCAGCCTTCAAGGCTTCGAGCAAAAGGCCACACGGCAGGCTCAGCCGCGTAGAACCACGTCCCGCCGCTTGCTCTTTGATCCCCCGTCACCCGGAGGAGCAAGAAGAGAACAGGAGGCCGTGAGAAAGAAAGGGTCCTCCCTGCTGGAGGGGCAGCCGCAGAGCAGCCTGGAGAGAAGTGCTGTGCATGGTGGACGCACGCGGGTGCGGGGTCCCGAAGTGGGACCAGTGTTTCCATGGGCCTTTAAAATTTGAAACTGAGGGGCGCTCATCAGGACGGGACTCTGCTGTGGAATCAAAAGCAACTCAAGGCACATCCCTGGTGGTCAAGAGGCTCAGACTCCGTGCTCCCAAAGCAGAGGGCCCAGGTTTGGTCCCTGGGCAGGGAACTAGATCCCACAGGCTGCGTCTGAGAGCTCACACGCCACAACTAAAGATTCCCAGTCTGCAACTAAGACCAGGTGCAGCCAAATCAATGAATAAATAAATATTTATTTTAAAACAACAACAAAAAAGGCAACTCAAAAGCTGTGAGGTCAGCCTGGAGTGCGAGGAAAGAGAATCATGGTTAAAAGAATCTATGGAGGGCTTCCCTCGTGTCTCAGTGATAAAGAATCCTCCTGCCACTGCCGGAACCATGAGTTCAATCCCTGGTCTGGGAAGATCCCACACGCTGCGGGGCGACGAAGCCTACGTGCACGACTATTGAGCCTGTGCTCTAGAGCCTGGGGCCAAAACTACCGAGCCTCACGCTGCAAATACTGAAGGCCACGAGCCCTGGAGCCTGCGCCCCACAACAGGAAGGCCAGCAGAAGCAGAAGCCCGCACACCTCAGCCACAGGGCAGCCCCCGCTCCCCACAGCCAGAGGCAAGCCTGCACAGCAACGAAAATCCAGCAGAGCCAAAAATAAACCCTTTTTAAGAAAAGAATCTATGGAGAGAAATAACACTATTTCCTCCGTGCACCCATTTATTTCAGCCCATTTAGAAATCAGCCACATGTTGTGAAAAATTAAACACATGCAGAAACATCCAGAGAATGAAATTTTAAAAAACACTCATATGTCCTCCACACAGTTCTGTCATGGTGACATTTTGCCTTATATGATTTACATTAAAAGACAAAATATTTAAACATCAGTGATAAAAATTGAACCTTCATTTCCACCTCTAAGTGTCCGTAAGCCTCATTTCCTCAGAATGAACCACTCTCCTGAACTTGGCATTTATCCCTCCAAACGTGTTGTTAAACCAGTTCTGCACATGCATGGGCCAGGCTGTAGGGACTGTTCTATAATTAGCTTTCTTTGTTCACCATTAGATTATTGAAGCTTACCTACATTATACACACACAAACACATGTGTATGGCGAGAGAGAGAATTTAGGCTCATTTATTTTAATTACCATAAAACTGATCTCTCAGTATATCATAATGTATCCATTTATCTATCAACGGTCACGTGGACTGCTTTGATTTTGTGTGATTATAAGCAATTCTGCAATACACAATTTTGTTTGCTCGTTTCCTCACATGTGTAAGTCTCCCTGAGGGTGTAACCCTACACTTATTGACAAAGTTCTATTGTTTCACTGCATTCATTAATTAAATTTTATTTTTAATTTCATTTATTTAAGTATCTCTACCCCATCTCCTTCTGCTGATGATTCAGCCATAGATTTAACAGATGTCGGCTTAGCGTTAACAAGTGCCAAACCCTGCCCTAGTGACCAGGACTATGGATGAAAAAGGCAGAGTTCTCGCCAACATGTTGCGGAAGATTTAGTGGGGAACTAGGTCACAAAAGGAAGTCAGATAAATAAATAATGCAGCTTCCAGTGCTTTAAAATGAAAGGGTAAGAGAGAAGATTAACGCCGAGGTGTGAGATGAACACCTCTCTGAAGGGATGACATCCCGTGGAGGTTCAAGTGAGCTGAAGAGACGGGCCTCGCAGACGGGAGAGAGGCTGCCGGCAGAGACCACGGCGAGAGCAAGGATCCGGGGCCAACGCACTCGGCATCGCCAAGAAATGGGCAGAGGAGGGAGCCGACGGACGCAGCGGGGGCTGACGGAGCGGCTGGAAGGCCCGGTGATGGAGCCACATGCTCCATGAGGGAGTCCCTGCAGAGTGGACGGGGAAGGGCCCCGGGGGCCCCCTGGGGCCACAGCTGCATCCAGGCAGGAGGCGGCGGCGGCTCGGACAAGAGGGGCCACACGGAGGTTAGATTTGGAGAACACTCTGAAGGCCGGTGTGACGGTCCGCTTTACAGAGTCACCAGTCTTCAACATCCCCCCGGAATCCTCGGTTTTCTGGAAAGACTGGCTTCCGGAGGAAAATGGACCCTGGGAGGTTTCTGGCCCAGCCCCAGGGCCACACTGGCAGCTCCCCCCACACTGGCAGGGGTTCGCGGTGATGGAGGCCTCCTGCTGCAGGGGGCATCCCAGCCCCCAGCAGGGACCGCGAGCGACACTCAACCCAGCCTCCGGAAGCTCCTGCTTTGCTCCCAGCTCCGCCCGGGCCCCCAGAACAAGTCCAGGTAGGATGGGCCCTCTCGGACCACGGTCAGCCCCCTCCTCGGAGTCCAGTTTGGGCCCCACACCTCCTGGGACCCGCAAGACCCTCCCCATCCTCTCCTCTCAGCCGAGCCTGCCCCGCACTTGGCAGAAACCTTCTGTCCGATCTTCAGGACCTTCGGCCAACGATCAATATGGAAATCCTCCTGGTTTAAGCCAATGATCAACACAGCCTGGAACCAATAGGCTCATTCGTGGGAGAGGCTGAAAGGGTACTGAGAGTCTCCACTTGACCACTGCCTGGGGTATTTTCATACTGACCATCTTTAAAACAAGAACGGAGTCTGGGAGGTGAGTAACAGGTGCCGATGGCTGGCTCACCGCTGAGGGAGGTGAGGCTGCCTTCCCAGTGACCCCAGTTCACCTCGGAGCTGGCAGGAGTGGGGACCCCAGCTCCTTTGCATCCAGCTGCTCCATCAGCTTGGTGCTGGCTGTGAGCTGGCACTTTGAACATACGATAGCCTGAGAGGGGCCGTGTGCGGCGGCCAGAAGGCGGTTCCCTTGAAATCGGGCCCCCTTTTCTGTGCTCACACGGCTCTCATGTGCCCTGCAAGGCCAGCACTGCCCCCGGAAGGGCAGTATTCGTCCCTCAGGTTTTCCCAGGTGAGTCCCAGATGGGTGTGCTCCTGCTTTCTCAGTCAACCAGAACCTTCTAGCAAAGACACTGCACTGCGTGTCAGGATTTCAGGGCTTTAGACTGGATTTTCTCAGCAGTGGCCTTGGTGACATTTTAGCCACAATGATTCTCTGTGGGGGGCTGGTGGCTTCCTTGGTGACTCAGATGTAAAGAATCTGCCTATAATGCAGGAGACCCAGGTTCAATCCCTGGGTCGGGAAGATCCCCCGGAAAAGGAAATGTCTACTCACTCCAGTACTCTTGCCTGGAGAATCAATCCCACGGACAGAGGAGCCGGGCGGGCTACAGTTCACGGGATCACAAAGAATTGGACATGACTGATGGACTAACACTCTCCACTGTGTTTCCAGCGCTGGAGGATGTCTAGCAACTTCCTGGGCCTCACCCAGCAGATGTTGGTAGTGCCTTTTGCAGCCACGAGGATCAAAATGTCTGCAGGCGTCACCAACCGGCAGACTGCCTCCAGCTGAGAACCGCCAATCTGGTGAATGATGGCCCCGTGGGGTCTTCACTTTCCCACTGGGTCCAGGGAGCCTAGAGAGGCCCCCAGACCCACCCCGTCCATCAGACAAGACTGCATCGCCCCTCAGCAGTCCCCTCCTCTCCAAACCGTCGAAGCCTCCTGAGCGCCCTCCCAGCATCTCCTCCGTGTGCGGCCCGGGGACCGTGCTCGTATCGCTGGGCGCACACGTCTGAGGCTCCGTCCCATCCAGACCATCCCAACGGCCTTGCCCTTTCCAAGCCACAGCTCCTGGACGACAAGGTTATTTTCTGCAGAAAGCCCACAGTCTGGCACATGTTGTCAGGCCTCCAAGGAGACACAGGCAGGGCTGGAGCGTGGTATTATTTCCTGTTCTGCTTTTTCAAATGCCTGCTAATTAAAGGATTTCATTTTGCTCTGAAAAGTCCTCATTCTTTTAGGAAAACTGTGCACGCAAAAGGCGCTACTGTAGGAACATAATCCTGCTCATTAAACCCCTCCGACAGAAGCTCACTCCCTTTCAAGGGCCGTTCTTCCTAACCTTCCTGGTGAACAACATCAGTTTTCCCCGAAAGGGATCTAAGTTCTACACAAACGGAGAGCGCTGCCAGGAGGTAACTTGCTGGCAGCTGAGGAGATAACTGCAGCCTCTGGGTGGAGGGCGAGGCGCTCCGCCGCTCAGCCCCCTCGAGGGGCTCTCCCCCCGACCCCACCCGGCTCCCCGCCCTCCCCGTGACGAGCTGCATCACAGCCCCTCTGCGGACCGACCCTCCACAACCGCCTGGCCCAGGTGGAGGGAAGGGCAGACGAAACAAGCGTCTCCCTCTCTGCTGGGGAGACACCCTTCTGTGCGGCGTGGCTCTGTTAACACACATTCTCCACGCTCGTGAGAGACTAACAGCATCTGTCTGCACCGGGCCCAGACGTCCCCTCCCACTCTTGACCTCTAGAACCTCTGTCCAGCCTCTGCCCACAGGAGCTGCCCCCGGCAGGCCCCACGTGGTCCTGCATGGGCACACGCATCCAGGCCCCGACCAGGATGGCAGGGAGAGTCCACACTGGACCCCGAGCCCCCTCTGCACGGCCCCCTCCTCGCCCGCCCCTGCTCTGCTGATCCCAAGGGCTCAGCTTCCCCCACTTCCGACCTCGGCCTTCTCAGCCCAGTGGGACCAGCTTGCCCCCTTGGACTCCAGTTTTCGGTGCCAGATGGGGAGCTTCAACCAGGCCAAGAACCAGGGCAGCCATGGGGCACAGGCTTGGGGGTCACAGTCTTCCACTGCCCGTCGTCCACGGCCGAACTCAGCGTCCCATAAATGCTGCCCGGTCCCCGGCTGTTTCTTGTTGGGGTGAGTGAGTTTTCTATTTTTTGTTGGGGTGTGTGGAGATTCCAGGCTGTTTCTTGTTGGGGTGTGTGGAGATTCCTGGCTGTTTC